TACACCAACTGCAATTACATTATTTTTTTTCAATGCCCTGGCTGCAACAGGGGCTCTCCTCTTTTTTTCTCCACCATAAGATACCAATGTTTTGCTGACCTTTTAAGATGGTGCAGAAAGCAAAAGCTTGTATTATCATTTTATCTGCGTCCATTGCAAATCGTGTCGTTTTTACTTCCTTTCAGCCTAAGCTTTTCATGGACGCTAAGTTTTCACATTTACATTTCACATTTATTCATTTAGCTGACGCTTTTATCCAAAGCGACTTACAATTGCTTTATATGTCAGAGGTCACACGCCTCTGGAGCAACTAGGGGTTAAGTGTCTTGCTCAGGGACACATTGGTGTCTCACAGTGGATTCGAACCCGGGTCTCTCACACCAAAGGCATGTGTCTTACCCACTGCGCCATCACCACCCCTATATAAGTTTTATAGGGTTAATATGATAAATGTATAAACTAATGTTGTAGTCAAGACCACATAAACCAAATCAAGACCACCGTGTGTCGAGACCAAACCAAGACCAAGACAGGGTGAGACCGAGTCAACACCAAGACCAGACCAGCACTCCTAAATTTCATCCTAAAGGTCCACATTTACTACTTGACAAATGTATTATAGTCATTCAATATACAGTAAGAATAAACAGAAGTTTGCATCTGAATTGGTACAATTACAACTGCATAGATAATGCTGAGATTAATGTTTTAAAAATAACCTTTTGAATAAAGAAATATGATGGAAAAATAAAATTATACTTTTTTTAAATATGAAACTACAACTGCCAGTAGGTGGCGGCAAATCATTTAATGAGTCACGGAATCATTTATTCAAACGATTTTTTCGAAGCAGCTGATTCATTCAGTAAGGAAACACAGATGTGTGTTGCTTGAAAATGCACAACAGTTCTGCTATGGATTCATATTTAAAAGTATAGTAAGCAATCATGCTCATATTTGCTCTTGTGATATTGCTTAATTATATAATTTGTTATAATATAAAGATCTCATAGAAGTACTTTTTTGCAATCGTATCTTGGATTTTGTAGGCATTTGTATGAATTTTGGTGACATTTTTTTTTACATAATCCCTCATTGATTTCTGACCAGGCACAGCAGTAACAAAATAAATCAAAATAGACATTTTTAAGAAATATAAAGTTACTGGCTGCATTTGAAGCAGGAAGTTTTACATCCAATCACATTAATGATGTTAACAAATAAATCATACAATGCACCGGCAATTTAGTGATATCCCCATGGTTGTGGCCCTGATCGGTCTTGAGACAAAATCTCAAGTCCTCTTAGACTGAGACCGAGACAAGACCAAGTACAAATGTGGTCAAGACCGAGACCTTCAAAAAAAAAAGTCTCGAGACCAAGACCGGACTCGAGTACAACAACACTAGTATAAACTATGAATAAACGCTTTATTTTAAATATTGTGCAAATGGCATCGGAATCTAACTCAGTATATTTACCGGGAATTCCATCCTTCACTGGTACAACAGTCAGCTTCTCCTCAGAGTCAGGCTGCTGTTGCTTCTCTTGCTCCTGTGTCTGTTCCTTTTCTTGCACTGGTTGTGGTGGTTCTTCCACCCCCTCAGGTGGCGGCCGGGGGAGGCCACCATCCACTTCCATTGGAGCCGGCAAAGGAGCAGAAGGTTCAGGAGCAGGTGATGGAGCTACAGCAGGAACTGGGACGTCTGTCGGAACAGGAGGGGTGGCAGGGGTCTGGACAGGAGCGGGGGCATCCTTGGGTTCTACATGCTGCAGCAATTCATGGATATTTTCCTCAAGCTGTGAATACAGAGTTCAAATAAGTCCTTACAATATTACTATTATCTGGTATAATAGATGTCATATAAGGAATGTATATTTTGATTCGTTCAGTATTGTTATTATTGTCATTGTATAGCATTGGAAGAAAAGAAGAGTGGTGAACCTGAGTCCAACAGCGGTTGACGATAAGCAGGGTGGTGTCATCAGTGGCCTGCCTCTTCTCCAGTTTCTCAATCTTCTCCCTCAACTCATCCTCCAAAGCCTGCCTCTGTTCAAGGCGTTCGCAGAGCTTCTTGTTCTTGAACTGAATGACCTTCATGTCCATCTCCTCCTGCACAAAAATATTTGGGGCAAAATTACACAAGTCAATCTTATCTACAAAGGTTTTGAAGGTTATGACAGAATGTTTAAAACACTACCAATCAAAAGTATTGGGTCAGACTTTTATTCAGGAAGGATGCATTGATCAAAAGTGACAGTAAAGACATTTACAATTTTACAAAAGATTCAAATATTTCTATTTCAAATAAATGCTGTTCTTTCTATTCATCAAAGAACCCTGAAAAAACGATCACGGTTTCGATAAAAATATTATGCAGCACAACTGTTTTCAACACTGATAATAAAACAGTGATCAACACACATGCTGTAGTAAAGTGCCTACTCGCATACTTGTGCATGAGAATGACATGAGGGCGAGTAAATTAAGAAACAATTTGAAGTTGGGGAATAGTCATTTGACATGCTTTGCGATTAGAACTGTGATTGATAGCATTGATCATCTAAAGTGTATATGTGCTGGAGTGCCACTCCTCAAAATGAAAGCACAAACATCATTTAAATCACCATATCACATTTTTAGTCTTTGTAGTATGACGACTTTTAGATAGTTTATTCTTATAATTTAAGTGGGATTGAGAGAGAGGACATAGTGAAACTATCAGGAGTATCTGTGCTTGAGCTGCTTGTCTGTGTAAGAGTGTACTACTGAGAAAAAATGAAGTTTACGGAGTTTCAGTGACATAACTACATTAAACTACTATATAATGTTGAATATAATGTATAATAATGCAATGGTGGAATATTTGCAGGTGCTGAAAATGCCAAATGTCTGATTTTAAAAAGGGGCCAACATATTTTAATATATGTATTCAGTGAACGAGTGCAAGCATATGTGTCTAACATAATTCTGTATTATTAGATTCAGAATCATGAATATTTTTATTCTGGTGTCATCATTGCCCTGTGCATTGGGGACCAGGACCAAGTCTAATCCTAGTCAAGTTTATCTTGATTAAATACTAAATATTAAATAAGGTTTTGTAACTTTTTACCATATGTCTTAGAAGTAATAATAATAATAATGATAAAAACTCTTTATTTTGGCTTAAAGTATCACAATAGTATCGTGTCATGAGTTCAGTATCGTGAATTGCATCAAATTGTGACATGAGTGTATCGTTACACCCCTAATTGAGTGATTGTTTTTAATGATGTCCATGTTAAAAACACACAAAATATTGGATATTGCAAGACTGCTCCCAAAAAGCTACAACGCATTTTGTTTTGGTACATGAAACATACCGTAGAAGAAACTCCTCCAATGCGGATGGGCTCAATGAGAGTGGTGGTAGTCTTCTCCTCTTTCTTCATCTTTTTTTCAGGTGCGCCAGGAGGACTATCCCCTCCTGAGGGGCGCTTCCCACCCCCTGTGCCAGACATGCTTCCCTACAAAATTCAGTGTTAGATAGACTATTATTATATTATTCAGAACTACAACAGATGCAAATTTAAGGGTAAGCATCAATTTCTTCAAAAGCACAGGCAGTTTTGTTAAAGGTTCAACCAAACTGTCATAATTTACTCCTCATGTTGTTCCAAAGCTGTATGACTTTTTTTCATTTGTGGAACAAAAAAAAGAGCCAGTCTCTCAGTTATCATTCGCTTTCATTGTATGGGGAAAAACAAAGATGCGATTACAAGTGAATGATGGCTGTCACTCCTAAAATAATCTGCATAACGTCTCCTTTTGTGTTCTAAAGTAAAACATACAGTCATACGTATTTGAACATAATGGTGAGGAAGTGATTGATATTTTTTAGTTTTGGGTGAACTATCACTTTAACTAAATAATTGTACATTGCATAGTTCCAAGACAGCTATATTAGTACTGACAATATCAAACAAAGACCACTGTTAAAGAGATTTAGCATAGATCATTTCTATCTGGCCTAAAATTAAAAATATTATTTAACGATAACAATAAGAAGATTTAAGCTGAAACACTTGTGATGTAATTAACTGTTTTGAGATATGCTGGTTAAAACGGCAGACGTCTTCGATCTAATTCATATTTATTGGATTATTTCATAATGAAACAAACTATAAAGACGATATTATCGTCATATTACGCAGGGCACATATTTATGCAGTAAAAACTTTTTTTCCCAATTAATTTAAGGCAACAGTGGCGCTTTGAGTGAGTTTAGCTTCGATGCTAGCTAAAGCCTAGCAAGCGAGACACAACGGTCAAAAACATGGGGCTTTTTTACATTATAAATTGCATTTTGTTAGAACTATATGTCGCACGTCATACTACAACGTTTTAGGTACTCTGCGGTTAAAAATGTGTTTTAAAATAGATTTGTGTTAGTGACTTTTTTGCAACCAGAAACAAACCTCCGCTCCGACCGGAAAACAGGAAGAACAGTAGATATGTGAACACTGACACCACAGGACAAAATTAGGTCTATCAAAATAAAAGTGAGCGGGAATAGACAGGCCCTAACATATGTGTAAAACACTTTGTTTGTAGCACTCATACCTTTTTGGACATTTGTTGTGATCACAGACGTATTTGCTCGAAGTGAGCTATTTGAACAACGTATGGTTGTGGACTCTTTCGTGCTAGTCTGATATACTTTACGTCACTTCCTCTACATCGCAGGGTGAAAATAAAAGTTCTTAAATGTTGTTCTTAATACTAGTTTATTCATTGATTTGTTTAAAACACGTGTAATTACAACAATATTTACATTTGTTTCCTATTTTTGATCGTTCCAATGTCATATTAAAAATAATGACGTGCATCCTCATGTGAAGTTTTCGTGGCTTTTAAGTTGGCGGTACTGATCAGTGGTTTGGTGGTTAGTGGTTTTTTTTACAGAAGAAAAAATGTAGTTGCTAGGATACGATGTAACACACACACACACAGGTGGTTTAGATTAATGTTTATTGAGCCGTTTTCAGAGGCTGTCCGAGGGGAGAAATGAAGCCTTTTGAGAACATTAAGGTAAAAGCTATAAGTTACTTTTTCATGGAATCTAGAGATCAGGAATAACTTGTGATTTCCCCAAAATATTTTTCATTTTTGTACATTATTTGTAATCTTTTCTAGGAGCCCCAGCCTCCAAGAGCACGGGTGTTGTTATGGTAACGTTAGGCCCCAAAAATAAATAAATAAATAAAATCCAATGCAGTTTGCATTTTAAGCATCAGACTCAAACAAACAGCCTCAATAATTATTGTTGTTGACTGCATTTCTAGGGCAGATCTGAAACACAGTGATATGGAAGAGATAGAGAAGACCAATTCCATACCTGAGATTGAAAGGTTTACATTTATATTACAAATATTGCTTAACACATGTATATTATGCTAATTTGTATAGACCTTATTCAGAGCAGCGCCATGCCCATGCCAAGTATGAAAGCGAGTCTGTGAGGGATAAACTTACCGTGTTTTCAATGGCATCCGCTGAATAAAGCTCTTAGATCACTTATAATTTTCCACAGCTCATGTTCTTTGGAGTTTTTTGCCTACTGAAATGTCTTGTTAAAATATTTTGCTGGGTTTCGTCAGCAGAACAATCCAAAAACACAAAATTATAGTAGGCTACCTACAACAGCGCTACAACCCACTGACGAGATGCATGTAAGTTATATCCCTCAGTCACAGCCTCGCTTTCATTCCCGTTAAACATCAAAGTGAATAACGTCTACAGCATTATTTGATTTTAAACAGTCAGTCATGCTATACTATTACATAAATTAGTGTGACATTATAAAATATAATAGTTAAAAATATCAAGATTAACTTCAAGGTGATGCCTTCATAGGCTAAACTATCTTTATGTCCATCGCTGAACAGTGGCTAACTTTACCTCTTGTATCTTGTTAGGCAACTTGCAAATTTTCCTGCCATTTTGTAAATAACCAAGCTATAATTAACAAGTTTAAATGCCTGAGATAGACCAAATACATTTTTATAGAAAATCTACCCTGAATTACAGAAGGTGCTACAAAACAGGAATGATGCTAATCATAATTGATAACATTGCTTGATCTTACGTGAATGCACATTGTTTGCTTCCCCTCTAGGATTTTGTGCCGTGCATTATTGGTCTCTGATGTGCCTCAGCCAAAACAGGGAGTACTTCTTGAGTTGTATACAAATCTAGTGCTGTTCTGCAGAGAGAGAAATTTCAACAGGGAACAAACTTCTGTTCTCATCTCCATTATAAAAAACGTGCATCAGTTCAACACAGGTGATGCAGCCATAGTAATCATGTAGAATTAACAATATCTTTATCATTTTTTTACAAGATAATATTCTCATACTTTATTAAAACATTATTGTAAAACATTTTCAGAAACACCCCTGGATAACACAGATCACTGTTTGACCTACTGCAGTGAACTTCTGCTTTGCCATTCAGTCAGGGTATGTCAATACAATATACCATTCAAAAGTTTGGGGTCAGTAAGATTTTATTTTTTGGAAGAAATCAATCTAAGAATTTAATTCAGTCAAATTTTATTCAGTCATCAAATTGATCAAAAGTGACAGTAAAAACATTTATGTTACAAAAAATGTGTTTCAAATATTTTTTTTTCTATTTATCAAAGAATCCTGAAAAAAAATGTATCAATGTATTTCCACAAAAATATTAAGCAGCAAAACGATTTTCCTCATTGAAAAAAAAATGTTTGCAAATCAGCATGTCAGAAGGATTTCTGAAGGATCATGTGACTAGAGGTGGACAGTAACAAAGTAGCCTACATTTACTTGAGTACTGTACGTAAGTACACTTTTCGAGTATCTGAACTTTACTTGAGTATTATTTTTTTCTGGAAACTTTTTACTTTAACTTCATTACATTTGAAAGCAAATATCGTATTTTTTACTCCACTACATTTCTGTCAAGGTCCTTGAGTAGAATGTAATAACATCAGTCAGGGGATGATTTTAGTTGCAGGGGTTGCATTGTGGTTGGAAATGAAAGTCATATTGACGTCAACCCGTTGTTCATTTTCAACCACAATACAACATCTGTCCAACGTTGGAGATTAACGTAAATCTGACGTTGGATTCTGACATCAACCTGATTTTCATTTTCAACGTCGGGTTTGGTCTTCTAAATGCTAATTTTGTCGTTGTTATGGAGCATAGCTTATAGATAACAATAAGGCTAACGCATTCATATTAAAAGTCAAAACACTTTAAATAGAGCACTATTTGAGGGAACAGGCATTTGGGTGTCCGAAACCATTGTGGATGTTATTGAGTGCACTTATTCAATTTCACATTCAATCCCACTACTGGAACGGTGTTCTAGAAATACATTTGATATTGATATAGCCTAAGGGTAGGTAGGCAGGCATAGATTCAGAGGCATAAGGTACTGTAAGTATTAGCCTACATACAACAATAAAACAATGCATTGACATTTACTTTTGATACTTAAGTACTTTTAAAAATGAGTACTTCTGTACTTTTACTTGTAACAGAGTAAGATTTGACCAGTAGAATTTGAACTTACACTCAAGTAAGGAAGTTGTGTACTTTGTCCACCTCTGCACGTGACACTGAAGACTGGAGTAATGATGCTGAAAATGCAGCTTTGCCATCACAGGAAAAATTACATTTAAAATGTATAAAGAGAGAAAACAGTTATTTAATTTTGTACTGTATTTTAATCAAATAAATGCAGCCTTGGTGAACATAACCACACATTTTGAACAGTAGTGTAATCATATATCTGCTTTGAAATAATAACTGTTGGGAAGTTAACAAATGTTTTTGTGCTCAAACCTCTTTTGTTCTTTCCCCCTTTAAACACAGAGGCCTCCTTTCAGTATCGACCTTTTCAGCTCGGAGCAAATGACACAAATTTTATACTATTTCATCAACACATATATGAGACATTATTTTTTATACAAATACATTTTTACTCCAGAGGTGAGTTTATGGATTTGTCAGGTCAGATACTATATAGTATTAGTACTAAATTCAAATTTATGTTGACAAAGCAATTAACTTTATGACCTCTTCCTCTTGCATGGTAAGGTACAGTTGGATATATCCATGTCATATATTGGAATACCTGAGGAGGACGCCAATATAGAGGAAACTGCCCAATCTGGTACCTGATAAAATAACACTAACTCACTCTCTCACTCTCTCTCTCTTTCTCTTTCTGGTAAACACAGAGGCCTCCTTTCAGTATCGACATTTTCAGCTCGGAGCAAATGACACAAATTTTATACTATTTCATCAACACATATGAGACATTATTGTGTTCTCTCTCTCTCTCTCTCTCTCTCTCTCTCTCTCTCTCTCTCTCTCTCTCTCTCTCTCTCTCTCTCTCTCTCTCTCTCTCTCTCTCTCTCTCTCTCTCTCTCTCTCTCTCTCTCTCTCTCTCTCTATATATATATATATATATACACTACCGTTCAAAAGTTTGGGGTCAGTGAGAATTTTATTTTTATTTTTTGGAGGAAAGAAATCAATACTTTTATTTATCAAGGAATAATTAATTTGATCGAAAGTGACAGTAAAGACATTTATAATGTTACAAAAGTCTTTTGAACTTCCTATTCATCAAAGAATCCTATAAAAAATAAATAAAAAAACTGTACAACTGACAGACCAACAACTGTTTCAACATTGATAATAATAATAAATGTTTCTTGAGCATCAAATCCTCATACTATACTGATTTGTGAAGGATCATTTGACACTGAAGACACTGACACTGGTGATGCTGAAAATTCAGCTTTGATCACAGGAATAAATTACACTTTACTATAGATTACACAGAAAACAGCTGTTTTACACTGGAATAATATTTTATTGAATATGGAATAATATAATATTTGTTGTATTTTTAATCAAATAAGCGCAGCCATGGTTAGCAGAAGAGAATTCTTTTAAAAGTATTTAAAATCGTACCGACCCCAAACTTTTGAACGGTAGTGTATATATACACACACACATATACAACTGATATTTGAAAGTATATCTGTCATTTGTTGTTTAAAGAAAGTACTGCAGATGGAGAAAAAGAAACTGAGAGGGAGACAGAAATGGATGGAGAAGTTCAACAAAGTGCTGCACTACCAGAAATGAAGACCACAGAGACAGACAGTCCCAACCAAGGTAGTTATATATTCTAGTATGTTTTAATTCAACTGGTTTAATTTAATTCCTTAAGTACATAATACAACTCGAAAAACAAACCAGCACGCATAAATAAGGCATAGGCTCAAAATATCTATTTCTGTTACAAATCAGTGTATAAGTTCATCCATTTCTCCTCCCACTTGACAAATGATTAGGTAACACTTTACAATAATGTTCCATTTGTTAACATTAGTTAACTATATTAATTAACGTGAACTAACAACGAAAAACAATTCTAAAGCATTTATATATCTCAATTACTGTTAATTTCATCATTTACTAATACATTATTAAAAACAAAAGTTGTATCTGTTAATATTATTTAATGGATCTGAGCTTACATGACCCAACATTGAACAGCTGAACAGTATTTTTTTTTTAAATTAAATAACGTTAATAAAGATTCTAACAAATGTATTGCCCATTGTTAGTTAAAGATAGCAAAATGCATGAACTAATATTAACTGACAAGACCTTAATGTATAGTGTTACCAATTATTATTAATGCATAATGTAATATTTTAGTTATTATCTTTGTTTATTTATATATATATATATATATATATATATATATATATATATATAGTTTTTAAAAAATTGCAACATTTACATGTTTGAGTGGAATTATACCTTTGTGCCCTTTGTACACTAAATTGTTGTTTTTTTTTAGCAAAAAAAATGTTTTTAAATAGAGATTACATATTTATGCCAGACTGCATGCTCTAATATGTAATACTCACTGCATACCACAAATAAAATAAAAGTATGTTTATGTATGATTTTTTTTTTCCACAAGGGTCTTCTTCAAAGTCTGAACTTAGGTCCATAGTTCAAAAAGAAGTGAGGGATGAAGTGATGCGCTTGAATGATCAGCTACAAAAACGTCTGCAGGACAGTGCTGATCAACTTAATGATACCATTAGTAAACTGGAGGCCAAGATTCAAGTTAAGAAGTAAGAAAATATGTTCCACATCTTTAGTTTAGTTTTGAAACCACTCATTTCAAAAGTAAAAACACATAAAATACAGTAATTATATTATTCATATATGTTTACCTGTTTAGATTTACTACAGTACCTTGATGATGAATGGATAATGTCTAGTCAACTGTGATAAAAAGAAACAAGTGGTAAAACATGTAGAGGTTAAAAAGGAATAAAACCTGTACACACAATTTTGTAAGGATTTTAAAACAACTCTCAGTAGTAATGCGATGTTTCAAGTATGTTATCCTTTGTATTGAAAGTCTTAAAATCCTGTTAAATGTTCCCTGTTGATCTATGGTTTAGGCCTCAACAATCTGGAATTGTTTTCGAAGCATAACAGTAATAATAAATTCAAATACAATCTGCTTTGTGTCAATAACAGACAAAGGCTAAAGAGCTTGACTAGGAAACAAGCTCTGTCCAATCTGATAGTTAATTGTAAATCCTAGTCATTAAAAAAAAAAAAAAAAAAAAACTGTTATCTCTTTATATCAAGCTGGTCCATACAATAAGCAATATCAGAAGCTACCGCCCCCAATAAGTATGTGATAAAACCATACATTTAAAAAATAAAATCCACAGTGAGTGGTTAAAATGAGGTTAAAATGCTGTTAAAATCAAAAAGCACCATCCATCTTTGAAGACAAAAAAAAAATCATCTATAAAAATCAAACAGCTGTGTTTTGTGTGACTTTTTGACAGGCAAGCTAAAACCACAAAAAAAAACTCAAACTGTAAATGGACAGATGAGGGAACATAAGGGAAAACCATGACCTTTAGTTTTCAAAGTCTTCAAGGCCCAGTAGAATGATTTTAGCAGTGTTCTGGAACAGAGCAGCTCGATTCTGTTGCTCCCCTTTCTTGACCCAGTGTCCATATATGCGGAAAGCACAGCCGTCAATGAGCTTGCGCACACCGCGGATGGAATAAGGGTCTCTTGCAAGGAGCTCCTTTGTTAATGGTCTGGCTCGGTAGTAGCGGCACTGCATTCGTATACAGGCTAACACTGTCAAGATCAGGGCCTGAAGATGCAAAGAACAGTTTTGAATTACAATTGGAATTATACTTGTATAGTATAATTACACCGTTGTCCACAAAAAGCTATTTTTAAATGTAGGTCTCTTTTTTCCCCTTTGTAATTTAGAAAAACCTGAAATTACAAGTGGAAACGATTTTTAAAACAGCAATTACATAGTAATATGCCAGACTGCATGCTCTCATTTTAAATCCTTACAACCAAAAAAAAAAACAAAGAGAGAAAATAAATAAACATACACTACAGTTGAAAAGTTTGGGGTCAGTAATTTTGTTTTAAAGAATTGAATATTTTAATTCAGCAAGAATTGATCAAAAGTGACAGTAAAGACATTTATAATGTTCTAAATGCTTTCTATTTCAAATAAATATTGTTCTTTTGAACTATTCAAAGAATCCCCCCAAAAATGATAATACTTAAAAAATAAAATTTCAACATTGATAATAATAAAAACGTTTCTTGAGCAGCAAACCAACATATTAGAATGATTTCTGAAGGATCATGTGACGCTGAAGACTGAAGTAATGCTGAAAATTCAGCTTTGCCATCACAGGAATACATTTTTAAATGTATAAAAAAAGTGATTTTAAATTATAATAATATTTCACAATATTACTGTTTTCACTGTATTTTTTGCAACCTTGGTGAGCATAAGAGACTTCTTTCAAAAACATTTTAAAAAAATCTTACCAACCCCAAACTTTTGAATGGTACTGTATATAAATGAAAAAAAACGCACCTTAAATGTTTTCCTGGGGCTAAAGATCCGCACATCCTCCTTTTGGTACTGACGGAAAAAAGGATGAGCTAAAGCTTGCTCGGCCGTGAGGCGAAGAGTGGGTTCCAGCACTATAAGCCTTGAGATCTAAAGGAATTTCAACTTTTTAAGCAAAGAGTGTAATGCACATTTCTCAATATTGGCAGTTAGCCTGTATGCTCCAGGCTAAAGGCCTGTTCACACCAAGAACGATAACTATAAATATAACTTTATTAGCGTCCACACCAGCAGACGATATCATTCAGTTTATTCTGAGTGCACTCTGAGTTTTGTTGACTGCTACTTTAAATGCTTGAGCTCTTTAAAGCAGGATGGATTCTGATTGACTGTCAATATTTTTATCGTTCATCAGTTGAACAAAAACAAAAAAATAACTCTGAAATCAATTCCAACGATATCGTTTCACGGTGTTATTATCGTTATAGTTGTGGTGTGGAGTCTGCTATTCTTTTATATTTAGAATGAATTGTTGAACTATATCTTTATAGTCATCGTCCTTGGTGCGAACGGGCCTTAAGACAATCTCACCAAGTCTTTGACGGTGTCAGACCGGTCATCCCACTCTGGAGAACTAAACTGGTACCGGCCTTCCATAATCATTCTCAGCATCAGCAGCTGTTTGCGATGCCAGAACGGTGGAGACCCAGCAAGAAGTGTGAACAGGATCACCCCACAAGCCCACCTGTGGGAAAACATGGGACAGACGATGAACCATCCACAATGCTTTTTTGACCCAAAAGAAAGGTTTAATAGCAGAATATGAGTATTATTTACTCACAGGTCAACCTCTTTCCCATATCCCTCATGTGTCTCATCCATGGAGCACTTCAGAATCTCTGGTGCCAGATATCCTGGTGTTCCACACAACTCTAACAAGGGAAATTGACAAAGACCAGTGTTCAAACAATGTATGTGGTAAATGGGCTTTGATTTGATTTGTCGCCGTGAAAGGACAGTGTTGATTTTCTCACCTCTTAGTCTTTCATTAGGCCCCAGCTGGACTGAAAAGCCAAAGTCCGAAAGTTTGATGTGTCCCTGGTCGTCTAGCAGCACATTTTCAGGTTTGAGGTCACGATGTACAATATTTCGAGAATGTAGATACTGGACAGCCTCCAGAAGAGCACGCATCATACTCCTAAAAGCAAGAACATTTGCAACCAAAATATGGTACGAGAAGAGAAATTCGCAACCATAGAAACTTTAAACAAGATTTGAGAAAAAAAATTCACCTGGTTTCCTTTTCACTGAGAGTGACTTTTTCAGTCAAGTAATCAAATAGTTCTCCTCTCCTCATGCTGTACGAAAAGTTGTGTGTGAATTTTGTTTGGATTTTTCAGTGTAAATATAATATAATATAATATACTTACAGGTCAAATACCAAAAATATGAAGGTTGTTGACTCATAAGAATCAATAAGTGTGACTGAAAAAGCACAAATAAGGTCAGTCATTACTCAGAAAGGGCTGAACACATCATTTCAAACATTAGCAGTAGCATTCAGACTCACTGATGGACGGGTGGCCCTTCACCACAGTAAGTACATGGATCTCCTTCAGCGTGGAGCTCTTCACCTCCTCTAACTGCTTTTCTGTCATTTTCTCTGCAGTGATCTCAATGATCTTCACTGCAAACTCCTGCCCCGTGTGTTTGTGGACACATCTGCGCACCACACTGCTCACACCTCTGCACACGGGACAGTTTAGTTACGCACAAGACATCTCAATAAATTACATTAAAACGCTTGCTGAATAGTACAAATACTCACCTGCCAATCACCTCTTTGGGATCATACTTCTGATAAAACTCTTTTGCCCCAACCCAGTCAGGCAGCTCATCTCCAAGAATGATATCGCGAGTCATAATGATAACCTAAAACAGACATATTTATTAACCTTGAGTGAAGAAAAGATATGCATGTTTGCTTTTTGTGTACTAGAAATCAGTCAGTCATGCATGGGCCATCACGTTAAAGGTGCTATATGTATTTTTTAGCGGCCTCTATCGGTGATGTTTCAGATTGCAACCAATTTTTAAAAGAGCGCTCGTGCTCTTGCGCATGCTCGAACTCAAGAGCAAGCGCACACGGCCACACAGACTTTCAACACACCGGAGAAAGCATCACACAACATACTGGAAACTCATGTAAACTCCCACTGCAACGTTACAATAATAGACATTATCAGCTTGACGTTGAACTAATGCTCCATGCTTGTAGCATGATAACGTTACATTGACTGCATTTAGCCGACATGTGGTGTTAGCATAATAAGGCATTTCACTGACTATTCGTGTATCTTTCACAACCAGCAATGGCAACATAGGTGAATGTATAATATGATAACGAAAACGGTTAGCGAACTAGACTGAACAATTTCAGTGTAACAGTAAGATCGTAGGAAGTAACATTACTGTACTGAACATGTCTGAAAATTATAAACAATATGATAGTAGTGGGATGAGTGACGTTAGACGGTAGATCTAGTACATAAAATAAAAGTTACATCCTTGTTATCCTGGAACAGTCTTTTGTATTCATTTCATATCTCATATATGTTGTAGTTTACCTTGCCATTTCATTACAGTTTACCATTATTTATTTCAGCATATCTGAAAACTTGTAATTTATCACAATAAAAATAGTGGAGGTCTCTCCATAATTCAAACGCTCTGCCGATGTTGATCGTGTTTTCGTCCTAAGTCGATCCGATTCACGTTTGGCCTGACGAGCTTCAGCAGATACATTTTTGTTTTGTTTTGTTTTTTATATTTATGTGGAGTGCGTTTTGTGCTGGAGGCAGGTCGTTTTTGGGGTGTTATCAGACTCCATGTCGTTAGCTGCAGTGCCGTCGCATAGACTGTATATAAAAAGGAGAGAGGCTCGGGAGCGCGCATGCACGTCACATCCGATGGATTTCGCAGAAAATCCGACCCGGAGACTTCACATAGAAATAGGAATACTGGCCTTCAGAGGTAATAGCAAAACCCGACAAGTGGATCATTGTAATGTGTGATTACAACCCCTTCACACACAGGCAATAAAAAAAGGATTCATTTTAGAAGAAAAGTTACATATAGCACCTTTAAACCCTACGATGCACGACGTCCACTACAATGTACATTTATTTAAAAGCCATTTTTGACAATTCAGGGCGTGATATTACATCCAAGCCATCACAATTGTTTACCTGAAGCCTTTCCCATCATTCTATATCAGTGTCCAATTTTAAATGTCAACAAAAGTGGTGAAGCACATTTTTCATTTGCTGATTTTCTTACCATTAAAGGCTTTATGTGATCTTTGGACATTTCTATGGGGGTTTCCATTAAGCTCTACTGTGGCTATTAAAATCATTATTTAAAAATAATCATAATAATAAAGTATTATTAGTAGTATAAGTATTGGTATTTAAAATGTTTTTACCAGTGTTTATAAGTATAATGTATATATATTTTAAAAATAAAAATGTTTAAACAATATTGTGTGCGTAATTCTAAGACTTACTCTCCAGTGCTTTGAGAAGCTGCTTTTAAAGGCGCTTTATAGAATTAAGTTTATTATTATAATATTTTGTGGAAACTAAGAAAATGGACATGCAGGAAACAGCACGTACACAAGAAGGACACGTGCATGTGTGGTGGGGGGGTTCTGCAATCTTTTCTATCCAGGATCGATCATAATTAATTATATAGCATGTTAGTTTGCTTGTTGCAAGTTAATTATTATAACGGACATGCTTTCTTACTAGTTGCCACTGGTTAATATAGGTTTACATTACAACCCCAAATGAACGGTGTCGACTCCAGCGGACAAATGTGTACCCCTATCAAAATACATCGTTTAAAAATATATTCTGAATAATTATATTCTTGTTTTGAAGCAAAATACAATCACTCCCTTAGTGATTTATTAATTCATGCATCAAAAAGTAAATGATAAAAATCACTTCCCTAGTTTTTCAAAAATGAATGCATCAAAATGCAAATAATAAATCAGCGTAATACCCACATACATGTGAAATAACAGCTAACTTCAGCAATAATTGAGCAAAACAAACAGTCTAACGTTAACTGTTCTGAGAAACGAACCGTTGCGATCATTGACCTCGTATCATGCTGTCTTGTCCCAACCCTGAAAAACAGAACGTACCCACAACCACTTCCACAAAATCAGCCGAAGTGCACAGTCATCTGACGGTTCTGTGTTTTCAACTGTCCGGCTGAAGACATGTATTTGAAGCGGTTGACAATACTGCCATATCACTGTTGAGAACTTTTATAGTGCTACTGGACAATGTCAACAACACCGTCGACACCCACTTCTCTGCCTTGTAAATGACAGCTGCAGTACACTCGGTATTTACCACTGCCCCCTACAGGATGGAGCGGGTAACGGCACAGACTATTTAATAAAAATGTAATTTTGGCTGTTTTGTTACATTGAGTGGGTCACCTTATGGGGGCCGACATGTTGAGATCACATGACTAGCTAAATACTACTTACTTTTTCTTGGTAACCACCACTTTCAATGGTAAAGCAAGACCATTTTCATGGGAACTCACTCACAGATTTAAACTGCTATGTTTTGGGCTTTAAACTGAACAGCTCTATTGCTAAAGAATTGACGAAATTGACAAAATAATAATAATAATAAGTGATATAAACAGCAGCAAGGCAAGCGCATGGGTTGGACCGATTGGGTCTGTTTCTGGGTGTGCTATTCCTTCTCTCATTGCTTGATCTGTCATCATTCCCATGGACAAAACACTCGCTTCTATGGGCTTGAAACAACAAGTTCAATGCTTCACAGATGTGGCAGTGGCACAGATGCATTTACATACAATTCCAAAAATAATGTTGTGAAAGTAACATTTTAAATATGAAAGTATGGATATTATAACATGAAATTATAAACTGCTGTGAAAAAAATAAAGCATACATGCTGCATCATTTAAACAGAAGCCAAGAAGAATTGTGTCTATATGCAGAATTTGGAGGCGAGTCAGGCGACACATACTGTATGCTCTCAGAACAGACTTAACTCAGTCAAATGAGTAAAGAAAGAAACGTAAATACCAAAATCACAAGGTAGCCTACTGCTGTGTTCAAGTGTGAAGCCTACATTTTACACATTCCCTTCTGATATTCATGAAAGGAAGCTAAATATCAACCAACACCTTTGCACTGCAAAGGCGGCACCGATGCTGCATCACGGCGGTGTAGTAAAGATCCCTCTACAGCTGCTTTGTTAAAGCAACATGGGGAGAAATGATTTTCAATGGACTAACTGGTAGGTATTAAGCTGTAAGACAAGTATTGATCAACACCAGTCATAATTTAATCCTCCAAAACATCCAACCATAGAGATAATTACACCGGAAGTCACCGTTTTGTCTCATTTCTAATACGGAAGTGGGCGTGAATAACAGCCACATTCAGCAGCATCACATCACTAGACGTCCCACAATTAATCACTGCAACCTATTCATTTCGGACTTAAATATATGCAGATCAGCTTTATTTCATCTTTATCTCCGCGAGATACAAGTAAGTGCGTTTGTTTCTGGGTACCGCCGATATGCGGGCTCGTGCACATAACGTTAGTGTTTGTTGTGGTAGAATCGCAGCGATCAAATGTGCTGCGGCAAGGATGCAAGATGTTTTGACCACAGCAGACATTGAATAGCGTGATTGTCCCTCTAAACAACATGGAGGAACAAAATTCAGTAAAAGAGTGGCGTCCTGCCCTATCCATCCCATCGAGCACAGCGCGTGAAGCATGCAATGCATATATTCGGAATGGGTTTTGGCGCTGGCCTCCAGTCGCTAATGCATAACAGTCCTAGTGTTTGCCATATTATGCATGCAGATGTGTCGTACAGCTGCATCCCTTAGGTAAACCAACACACGTTCAAATTAAAAGATGAGTGTAGTGTGTTTACGAAATATTTCTGATCTATATATCTAATTGATACTATTTTTTATTTGTTTTATTCATATTTATAAGGATCTTTATATATTTCCAGCTGTTAAGAGCCCTTGGAAATATGAGCCAAACGTCAGAGCCTTCAGCCGATGCTGCTGTGACTGAAGGTTTGGATTTTTTTTTATTAGTTTGCAATGGAAACCAAAATACCATAGTTTTTATTATTGCTATAAAACCATTATAATTTAATAATACATCTCATTCGTATATATAAGAAGCGTTTAAAGGGATAGTACACCCATTATTTATTCACCGCCATGTTTCAGACTGGTAGCACATCTTCAATAAGGTTCCATTCGTTAACATTACTTAACTAACAGTGAAAAATGCTTCTAAATCTTGGTTTGTTGATTTTAACATTTACCAATACAATTATTAAAATCAAAAGTTGTATCTGGTAATATTATTTAATGGAATTGAGCTTACATGAAATAACAATAAGCAGTTGTATTTTTATCACCAAACGCCAACAAAGATTAATAAATATTGTAACAAATCTATTACTCGTTGTTAGTTAATGCATTAACTAATGTTAACTAATGGGACCTTATTGTAAAGTGTTATCTTCAAACCCGTAGGCTTACTTTCTTCTGTGGAGTTGTTATGGAGAATGACAATCTCTTTCATTGTATGGAAAAATATTAAATGAAAATGAAAGTGAAAAATAGGGAAAGGCTGTCCGCCTCTAACATTCTACCTAACATTTAACTTAGCATAAAATGGATTAATTATTATTTTTGAGTGAACTGTCCCTTTAATTTTTTTAAGGCAGCAGTTGCAAGTATCACATTTCCACTATTTTGTTGCCAAAACAACAGTTGTAGTAACTTTGGTATTTTGGCATAAACTGTGGTAAATGATTTAGGTTAACTTGAACGCTTATTTATTTACCCGCCATTCTTGTATCCAGCTCCAGTTTCTCAATCTGAAACCAAGCAATCAACAGCAGGGAAGAAACAGAACAAAAAGAAAGTAGAAGAAGTGGTGGAAGAAGAAGAAGAGGAGTATGTTGTAGAGAAGGTCTTGGATCGGCGCGTGGTGAAGGGAAGAGTGGAGTATCTCCTCAAGTGGAAAGGCTTTTCTGAGTAAGTAGCTGCAGTTAGATTTTTACGGAAGCTTGTTTCTGCCACGGAATAAAAAATAAATTAGGTAAGTCTGACCTTTTTTTTTTAAATCTGTGGTGAAGACAAGCTTCCATAGATTTCAGCTTGATTTTGGGTGTAAATCCTAGAGCTTATTTATTTTTTTGCTCAGTGAGGACAACACCTGGGAACCTGAGGACAACCTGGACTGTCCTGACCTCATAGCAGAATTCCTTCAGTCGCAGAAATCGGCTGAATCTGGAGGCAAGAGGCGGGCCGAATCTGACGGAGATGGAAAGGAGACCAAAAAGCGCAAGGATGAGGTAAGAGCCATGAAGATCTGAGCATCTGAGATGTCTACATCATTCCATGTCTATAAGCTGGTCAGGAAGTGTCTTTAAAACATTAGAAAACCAAAAGAGATTGAATGGGCTCAACAGTGTCTTACATGCCATCTCTCTTAATTTAGCCTGAGAAACTCAGAGGTTTTGCACGTGGTTTGGATCCTGAGAGGATTATTGGTGCTACAGACTCAAGTGGAGAACTCATGTTCCTCATGAAATGGTTTGTATGGAAATTGTTACCCGTAAGGTACAAACAAGTATTGGATTAGAGGGACAGTTCCTGAGCAGCATTAGGAGAGATCGGGGGCAATTGTAACACACTAAATTTCTTCAATCACACCTACACTCACCTAAAGGATTATTAGGAACACCATACTAATACTGTGTTTGACCCCCTTTCGCCTTTAGAACTGTCTTAATTCTACGTGGCATTGATTCAACAAGGTGCTGAAAGCATTCTTTAGAAATGTTGGCCCATATTGATAGGATAGCATCTTGCAGTTGATGGAGATTTGTGGGATGCACATCCAGGGCACGAAGCTCCCGTTCCACCACATCCCAAAGATGCTCTATTGGGTTGAGATCTGGTGACTGTGGGGGCCATTTTAGTACAGTGAACTCATTGTTATTTTTCAAGAAACCAATTTGAAATGATTCGAGCTTTGTGACATGGTGCATTATCCTGCTGGAAGTAGCCATCAGAGGATGGGTACATGGTGGCCCTGGATGTGCATCCCACAAATCTCCATCAACAGCAAGATGCTATCCTATCAATGTGGGCCAACATTTCTAAAGAATGCTTTCAGGACCTTGTTGAATCAATGACACGTAGAATTAAGGCAGTTCTGAAGGCGAAAGGGGGTCAAACACAGTATTAGTATGGTGTTCCTAATAATCCTTTAGGTGAGTGTATTTAGCATATGGGGGATTGTATCACTTTGTTAGATTTTTTTTTTGTTGCTTTTGCTATCTTAAGTTTTGATGCCTTCATATTGTAACATATCTATGTTATCTTGAGGTTGTTGGTTAAAAGTTAACAGGAATGACAGATGGTAGCTACCATGCAACATTTGATCATAGCTGAGGTCGGGGGTAATTGTTGACTGCAAAATTGAATCTTTAAAATGTGTAATAAATTTTATTTCTAAGCATACTATCGTTTCAAAAGTTTGGGTCAGTACGATTTCTTTTTTAAGATAGGCTATAACACTTTTATTCAGTAAGTATGCTTTAAATTGATCACAAATGACCATAAAGACATTTATAATGTTACAAAAGATTTCTATTTCAAATGCCGTTCTTTTAAACTTTATATTCATTCTATTCCACTGTTCCAACATTGATAATAAAAAGAAATGTTTCTTTATCACCAAATCAGCATATTAGAATATATTAGATTTCTGAAGGATCATGTGACACTAAAGACAGGAGTAACATCTCTCTCTCTTTCACTCTCTCTCTCTCTCTCTCTCTCTCTCTCTCTCTCTCTCTCTCTCTCTCTCTATATATATATATATATATATATATATATATATATATATATATATATATATATATATATATAAATATAAATATAAATATAAATAAAATGTAATAATATTTCACTGTATTTTTGATCAAGTAAAGGTGTGCATAAAAGACTTCTTTCAAAAACATAAAAAATACTCGCCGACCCCAAACTTTTGGACGGTAGTGTTGCATCTAGTTGAAGATCGACTTATTAGCCGGTCAGTATATATTTTATTTAAAAAAAAAAGTTATTTAATTTATAATTATGTTGTGTAGGTACCATTTAGACTTGCTTTAAACACATATTATTCCTTGCGAATTAAACCATTGGCACTTTCATGGTGTTTTTAATTAACATAATTTTAATTCAATACAAATTTACTTAAATGTATTCATCTTTTAAAAAAGTGAATTTTGTGTTAACTCTGGTTCTCATGGAACCAGAACCATTGGAACCATTCACTTTGATAAATATGCAATATCAAGGAAATCATAAAGGGGCAAATGCTTTTTCTGGACACTTATCTGAAAAAAGCGAATACAGCATATTTGAGATTATACGTTTTAGAAGTGTATGCATTCCTTGGGAATCAAAGCCATGAACTTACCGAGCTTTGCTAGTGCTGTGCTCTAAACTTCAGGATTGCGGTAATATGGTTTATTTGTGTTACAGTTTCCCCCAAGCACTGTTAAAGGGATAGTTCAACCAAAAATTAAGATACTGTCATCACATACTACTCACCATCATGTCATTCCAAACCTGTGACTCTTTTTCTTCTGTGAAGCACAAAAGCAGAACATTGGGGTCCAAAATAACATTGAATTCCATTGATTTGCATTGTATGGGGGAAAATTTTTAATTATCTAACGAGAATATTTATTTATATATATATATATATATATTCTGTGTTCTGCCAAAAAAAGAAAGTCATACAGGTATGACATGAGAATGTGTAAATGATAACAGAATTTTCATTTTTGAGTGAACTGTCCACTCCATTCACTTTCATTCATACGCATGTGAATGTGAAATGCAAGCTTCATCTTCCTCTGCATACTAAAGGTCAAGTTTGGTGAACTGTGATCTACACATTCATACAGAAAAAACAACGTTTTTAATTATGTTAGTCACAAAATTGACCTCTAAGCTCAAATACTAAGAGCAGAGTTTTGTGGAAAGTGAAGTGGATGGGATATTTTAACATTTTCTTAATGATTATTTATTAAAAACAGTTGGCATCCTATCTTGTTGCCAAACTTCATTGCAAATCAATTTTGCATGCTCTAAAAGCATTCATACCTTTACAGTCACCTCCATAACGGGGACAATTGTAATGTTATTGACTTCTGGTATGAAATTTGATATGATGTAGTCTATACAATATATTTAGGCACAAATGCACTTCATATACCAAAAGATAGCTGGTATATTTTGAGTTGTCTGTGAGTTGAAGGAAAATGTAATTGTTACAATTGCCCTCGGTTTCCTCAACTTAGAAATCCATCTCGGATGAGAAATAGCTGAGCTGTTGGTTGTTAATGTCTTCTGTATTTTTGTATACTACAGGAAAAACTCTGATGAAGCTGATCTAGTACCAGCCAAGGAGGCGAATGTAAAGTGTCCACAAGTGGTCATCTCCTTTTACGAGGAACGCCTCACCTGGCATTCATACCCCACTGAAGAGGAAGAGAAGAAGGATGACAAAAATTAGACGACAACAACGGAAAAAAAAAATTTGATGTAAGGACAGTCGATATCAGTCGTGGCCATTGATCTGCTTATTTGTTGTTGTTGTTTTTTAAAGATGGCAAAGGAAAATTGTCAGAAACAAACTTGTACAAAGCAACAGTATAAACTGTAATCTACATAGGTTTCAGCGTATTTTAGTTTTGGCACCATTGCCGTAGATGAAGCGAATAGAACACTAGAAAGGTGACTTTGCACCTTTAATGTACTCTTTATGCTTTCTATTGACAAAAACATTCAAATCATATTCAGATTTAAATCCATACAACATATTGAAAAGCATCACAGTCTGATATTCATACATGTGATTTAAAAACAAATAAAAAAATCTTTACATGTTAGAAATGCCCCCTACCCTGTGTAGATTACAATGTTTTAGTCTATCATATACTGGGTCGGTTTCATTTGATGCTGTAGCTGTCTCTAAAACGTCCTGATGTATTCCATGATCCTTCATTTTATGTTTATATAACTAATGTTAAAATATTACTGCCTTAACAGATTATTAAGAAAATGTCAATTTTATACATCTGTCAATGCAGGTGGTCATTGAATGCATGACTGTATCTGGGCCCATGGAAAAAGGTTTAGGATATAAGCCTTATTAAACATTCGGAACTGGCTTTGATATATTTGGTTTTATAAAGTCATGCCAGCAGCTGTTACTCTTCAGTGTTTATTTGCCCATGAACTATTACGTGTCTGGTCTTACCATAGGTGCTATTTGTGAGTCAGCCCCATTGGATATTAACAGTCTTTCTTGACAGTTGTGTTTGTAAATATACCATTTCCTTGCACATCAGTATCACTGTGTACAGTCAGCTGAAGTTTTGTTTTTACTTTGGTACTCTTTTGTCTTATTACTGTTACACAACAAAGTAGAAGAACTGTAACCTCCTGTTCTCCTGAAGACATTTAAAGTATGTTTTTATGTTTTGAGCTTTAACGATTGTATGCTAGTTTGGTTTAACCATGTTATTATTGCATATTATCAGAGCATTTGCCATTGAATTACCATTTTCAAAAATAAAAATCTTTGTTGTAATTCTGTCAAAACTGGTCATACTTACACTTATTTATGCTTATACTCTCAATAAGGTAAATTTATTAGTTTATTGTATATAATATTTTCTACAGGGATTCCCTTTTTTTTTTGTCACCCAAACCCCTCTGACAAAACATTTTCTTTAGTACCCACTGAAGGTAATATTTTAATAATTTACCAAAACATTTGCTTGTTTGCATCTTTGTTAGTGTTTTTTTTTTAATGATTTACTTTGTGCATTTTTATTATTTATTAATTAGAATTTCATTAACTCATGAAAAAGCTTGTGGTCAGTAATATTTCTTTCAATAGAACTTAATACTTTTATTCAGCAAGGATACATTACATCGGTAAAAAGTGACAGTAAAGAATTTTCTCGATTTTTTAAAGTTCGATTCATTCTGTTCTATTCCAAAAAACATTAAGCAGCACAACATTTTCAACATTGATATTTCTTGTGCACCAAATCAGCATATTAGAATGATTTATGAAGGATCATGTGACACTGAAGACTGAAGTAATGGCTGCTGAAAATTCAGCTTTGCCATAACATTTTATCATTTTAATTTATGACATTTCATAATATTACTATTTTGCTGTTTTTTTTATATATTTGTTAAATAAATTACGTCGAGTGACTAAGTTATTTAAAAAACAAATTCTTACCGACTCCAAATTTTTTAGCGTAAATAGTGAAACAGTAAGTGATAATCCACGGTTATCCACGGAGGCATTTGCCTCCACGTCTTGCATTAAAATAATTTAATACACAGCTAGCCATGGATTATCCCGTTTACCATGGACATTTGCCAGCATTGACAATTTAAAGCTGTCATTGATGTTTGCAGCGCTAAATTTTATCTGGAAGGGTTAAAATGACGGTTATTTTCATCAGCTACCACTCATCTGCATTATAATCAGACAGAGAGATAAAGTAGTGCGTTAAATGTATATGATTGAATTATAACATTTATTTGAACGAATTACCCTTTCGAGAGAGGGGGAAAGATAGAGACTGTTAAAAAGAACACTTATTTTGCACTGTCATCACAACATTCGATCTGCTACTTCACAAAATTTCAACAAATAGCACCAAATTTTATGGTTTTACCAAATCCAGAAAAATTCAGACCTATTTTGATCACAACAGCAGCAAAATATGTAGCAGCCTGCCACAAAATAAGTCAGGCAGCAGATAAAACTAAAGTCAGAAATATTCTTACATCTTACCACGTCTGAATGTATGTACAGGTTTTTTTTTTTTTTTTTTTTTTTTTTTATCATTTTCTTGTTTATAAAGAAATCATAATTTTGTTCATTGCTCATGCAATGGCCAATGCTTTGTGTTTCCATTTGCTCAAATAGCAAAAGAAAAACTCCACAATAGTGTTTTCACAACTTTCAAAGAGGATTGATAATGGCAGTCAGAAAGAGAAAGATGTCAATTTTACCACCACTCCCACAGCCACTGTATTAGAAACACCCTCACAGCAGCGTTGACTAGTTTTTTTTGTAATTTGATGCAAAGATAATATAATACAAAGTACACTGTTATAAGTGTACATACATTTAAAAAAAATGAAAATATAAAAACATTGCAGGATTTACGATGCTGATGTTCCCCCTTAAGTGTCACGGGCCCACCGGTGGGCCCAAATCCTTTACATTTTTAAAACAGTAATATCCTATACTAAACCTAAACTAATCTTGACAAACTATATATCATTTGAAAGCTTACAATCTCTAGTTTCCATATTTGGTGATTGATTTTCAAAATAAATTACAGAGGAGCCGTAATTTATCAATTTGCAACAATAATATTTTCATACTCTTAGACCTTTATTTTGAAATAGTGATGAACATGAAAAATCATGAAAGAAGGTAGACGGTGGGCCGAGGCCCCGTATCTGCTTTACTTTTCGAAATGAATGATCCCCATGGAGGGAGAACCTGAATTTGTAAAGTTGGGACGTTTGTTTTATCCTCAACGATATGAAAAGTGTTGCCACTCCCATTTGTTGCACATTTTCCCCCGAAATCATAATGCACGACCGTAAATATGCAGGCAAACGCGGTTGCCTACTATATCAGTCGAGCCAATAGCGTGGCAAGATACTGACATAGGATTATTATTAACCAATCAGATGTCGCTTATTTAGAACAGTTGTTACGCGGATGATTCAGCTGTCAGACACGAACAGCATCTGCGGCGGCAGCACAGTGACAATCGCCAAGGACATTGTTTTTGTGATTGTAAGTATTCATTTAATTAGAATATGATATCTATGACAAATGTTTGTTTTGTACACTGTGTTGTTCAAACGTATGTAAGCGTCTCGTTAGTGTCGTTTTAAGTAGGGTAGTTTCAGCTGGCTAACTGACATAGTAGCTAGCATGTCTAACGTTAGGTCACAGCTCTGAACCAAAACTACAACATTACTAGTAGATTAATGCATCCTTCATTTTAATTCCAAAATCTAAACCAAGCTAATCTCCTGCATACGATCTCTTGCGATCGTATGCATGAGATTAGCTTGGTTTAGATTTTGGAATTAAAATGGATGTAAGCGTCTCGTTAGTGTCTTTTTAAGTAGGGTAGTTTCAGCTGGCTAACTAGCAGTAGCTAGCATCATGCGATTACATATTTGATTTGGTGTAAAGTTTTAAGTACTTAATTCTAACGGTAACACTTCGTCCAACTCACATAGGCTACAGCTCCACTGTATGTCCCCGGATAATTACCTCAGACTGTTTTGCAAACGTTCGCCAAAAACTCAAGGTAAACATGAACCTCTTGATATATAAAACATATTTAATTATCAGTTATATCTGACATAACATTAAAGGGTCAGCAAGCAGCCAATATTATAACCAGAGAGCTAAGAGCTCAAGAAGAACGGCATGTAATAGAAATAAGATTAGACTATCAAAGAACATATGCTATCAAACAGAGCAGAGTTATAATGTACATAAACATCGTACAGATTTACTTCTGCTGGAGTAGCCAACACACACACACACACCCCTCCCCACATGTGCATTTACATAACCACATGTGCCCTAGTCATCTTCAAGTGACTTATTGTCACAGTTTACACACTGACAGAGGTTTGTACATGGCAGCTCATGCAGTTTACATGTGCATCTACCCTTAACACAATTTGTTTTTTTACATGAGCAGTGCACAAGTTCCAGAATGGCCTCTGGAGCTGGCGGAAGTGTCATCCAGTCCACTCCGTAGAAATCCCCTACCATCTTCCAGCCATGATTTACAGGAGGAGGAATGTCTGGCATGCACTCAAGACTCCTTCTGTGTATTGCAGCCTGATAGCTTGCCCGCTGGATGTATAATGTATATATATAATATAAATATAATATATTTATATTATTTATATTATTTGTACTATTATACTGTTACTGCTATTACACTGCACATAACTGTATGTGTTTGATCGTACTGGAAATCCATATCTATTACACTCTTATAAGGCTACTGCTAATACATTGCACATTTATATTTAATTAATATTACTGTAAAACATACTACTTTCTTAAATGTATACTACTGTACCGAATGTCTTATACTGCGCCACCTATCTATACAATATAATACTGCACTGTAATATACTGCGCCACCTGTCTATACAATATAATACTGCACTGTATGTCTTTTACTGCACCTCCTGTCTGTACAATATAATACCAACCTTCATTTGCAGTTTCTTCAACTAATACTGCCTTCTCTCTTCTCCTTTGTGCTCGTTCTATCTTCGTGATATTTGTGAAATGGCTGTAGCACTCCCTGTGGTAGCCAATGTTAGCTGGTTTGACTAACTGGTTTGTAGGCTCCTGGCTTTGTAATTTGTATGCCTGTACTGCCTCTTCTGCTATAATACTTTCTCTGCATTCAAGGTCTTTCCACAGAAACACAGATTTAATAAATTTCTCCCAACTTATGTCTGTGAAGGGAATGGTGGGTCTATTTCCCTCACATATATGCATGCAGCACTTCATGTTTTTGCGATTTCATCCATAGTAAAAATGTGCGGGAAAAAGAGAAATGTGCGTTTTTATCATAGACATAATCAATACATAGACGCCCAATTGCCCGCTGGAGCGTACGTCAACGGTGCGGCCATATTGCGGAGGGCAACTTTCCCATAGATTTCATACCGGGAATTGAGAAAAATGTGTTTCGTGTGCTGCTTGGGGCTGTACAAATCGCCACACAATTGAAAACAGGTCTCGAGCAATTACTTTTCACAAGCAAGACTGAAAATTTGTTTCTGGTTGTATTTGGCCATTATATAATTAGAAATTTCAAAATACTACTGTTATTGTGTCACGAAATGTAGTTTTAATAGTTTTTCAGTCGACAATGTAGTTGTCTAAAGCTCAAATCTATGGTTTATTCGTAAAGATAGAGCCTATTTAAAATTTTTATCTGACGTTTTTGGAGTGAGAGATCCGGGCGCTCATGTACCCCACCTGGAACAGCCTTACCTCGGCTATAGTGCTTCTGACGTTTGCCGCTGGCTCTGATGTCTAGTGGTTAAACATGATATATAATTCGACTTGTGTATATCTAACAGGTAATCTTTGGTCTCATTAATCTATAATTTGTTCCTTGGCAAATCGTTTTGGCTGAGGGCAAAGTAAAGTTTCATAACTTTATATTTAGGCTATTTTAACGTTGTATTCTGCTGTAGATGTCTATGGTTTTCATGATGTTGTGTTTCCAAGCAATACCATGGATTAAATGTGTGAAATCAGAACGGTATATTTATTAAAGATTACAACGAAATGACAGGACATCGTATGACAAAAGATGGTTACATAAAATAAAAACAGTGACAATGCATAACGTTACCTCTACATTCACATTTTGTGTCAAACTGAATACGTAGCATAAGTGGGCAAAATTAGTTAACAAGTTCAATCTTTCCTGGGCTAAAATCACTTCTCGAAAAGATGTGCACAGAGCATAGACTGTAGGTCAGACAGCAACTTCATATCAGCGCGCCCGTGTGTTGACAAACGCGTCACCAACACCGACACTTTCCCACGCACGCTATTGGATGAAGGCAACAAATACGTCACGCATGTCGGACCCAACACGTAGCCGCCTGCTCTATTCGCCGGGAAAATAACCTGGACAAAGTTACCGATATTATAGTAATGTGCAAAGTATGTGAGTGGCAACAATTTTTATTTGCTTTGTTGAAAAGTGTAGTGGTTATATATAAAAAACTGGGTTATCCATCCCCAGAGATCGTCTGAAAACACGAAATCCCCCCTCGGCCCACCGTCTAAGGGTAGAAACCTCAGTTTGTTTTCATGCCAAGAGTTCAAAAGATAGCATCCATTCAATTATTTAAAAAAAAAAAGGTCTGAATTTTTTTTTTATATAAAGAAAAAAATTATATGATGTGGCAGGAAGCTAAAACGCACATGCGTGTTCTTTTTATGTTTCTTAGAGGTTGAATTCATATCAAAATCTGCCAAACTTCTCATATTACTTCTGAATAGGATGTCTACTTCATAAATTGTATGAAAATTGTGGAAATAATGGTTCATATCACTCAAAACACATATGGAAATGGAGGCGCCCTTATATGGGCAGTAATGGAGTCTGGTTGTCATCTAGTGAAAAAGTTTGGTACTGCGCCCAAACAAAATCTTACTGAAAGCTCATTTTTTGAGATATCAACCTAAAATTTGAAACACAACTTGTTCAGATTTTTGGCTTTGATTTTTTTGCAGTTTTAGAGTCGCCCAGGTTTTGAAAATATGTATTTTATATAAAATATGAATAATTAAATTTTTTACATTGTACATTTTCATAAACTCAAACTTCTATAACTTTTTTTCTGTTTCACTTTCTTAATTTATTTCACTTCTACAAAAATCTGCCAAATGTCTTCTTTAAAACAAGACCAATCTTACGTCTATATTCCAAAGCATTCTTGAATTACAACCATTTAAGTTCGAAATGTGCATTTTCATGTATATTCAAAAAAAGGGGGGTGACACTTAAAGGGTTAAAACGCATCATTAATCTGTGAAAAGGGTCAGAGAGAGAGAGAGAGAGAGAGAGAGAGAGAGAGAGATGCGCGTGTGAATTACCTGTCTGTGCAGCGTCTCTCTACTAGCAATGAAGCTGCGAGTTTAATTACTTCAAAAACAGCAATGTTACAACCTCCTTGCTAAGTAATACAATGTACCAATTGAGTAGAGATATTAATTTATTAATAAAAGTCATGGGGCAGCATTGACAAGGAGCTTCTGTGCTCTTGTTTCTGTGTGTGCAGCGCCATCTCCAATCTCTGGAGTGTGTGTATGTGCTTTAATGAAAGCAGTGCATTAATATAGAACAGTGATTAAATTGACTTGGAACTACTGTTTTTCAACCACTCTGGGAACTACCTGTGCCTATCAGAATGGAGTATTCAGACAGACCATGGTATATGAACCAAAATTATTGAATGCTGTAAATATTGTAATTAAAAAATGTAAATTTATCTTAGAAGCGATATAAGGAAAAATTGAGCTTCACCAGCACAGAAGACAAAACATCTCATATTTATATAGCTATCATGAGAGTTTTTGCAGCATTACCAAATCTAACCATTTCATTTTATTTTTTGACATTCATTTAGAATCACAAATCCTCTGCCTTTCAAATAGGAAAACCAAGGAAATGAAACAAAGGTTTATTATAATTAATAAAAGAACAATTCCAGATTGCCAGCAAACCTCATCTCAACATAAATCATATAGGAATACTCAACAGGCAAATTCAAAGAAGGTGCAAAAAGGCCTGGCTGAACCAAACAATTAGGACGAGAGACATACAGAACACAAAAATATTTACAAAACGAACAAAAACAACAGTGCTTAATGGCAAGTAGTTATGACATTGTAACAGGGATTCTCCAGTCAGTGCTTCTCAAACCTGTCCTAGGGACCCCCACCACTGCACATTTTGGATGTCTCTCTGATCCAACACACCTGATTCGACTCACCAGCTCATTAGCAGAGACTGCAAGACTTGAATTGGGTATGTCTGAAGAGAGAGACATCCAAAATGTGCAGTGTTTGGGGTCCACAAGGGTAGGTTTGAGAACACACTGATCTAATTGAACGAATCACTCATCTTTTTTCATTATCTCTACCCAAACTATGCTAAGTATTTGTAACCGGTAACACAAAGATTGTCTCTTTTCCATTTCTGAGACAAAAACAATGACTTTTTCTTGCATATTTATTCATGTCGCACCAAAACGGACACTGACCGTGTCTCATGGTGCTTTATGAACAGTGTAGATGGAAACGACAGACTGACAGAATAGGATGAAGTTGAACATTATGTAAATTAGACATTCACATCAGCATTGCTGTTTTTTTTTCCTACCCATTCATTGATATGTCAGTGTATAAGGTCAGCTGTGTCCTCAGGCTGAAGTAAAGCACGATCCAGTTGGTTATTGGCACAAGCGTAACCTCTTTTTTTTTGCCAGGAGATCATTCATGGCTTCACTCAATTACTTTTACTAAAAGTAGTGTATTTGGTAAAAAATAAAAATAAAAAAATAAATAAATTCAGGTTCACATCAAAGCTAATTTGAATTTGTAGTTTAAACGTAAGAATGACCTGTGCTGTGCCTGCTACTGTTTGTGTATTTTGGTGCGCATTCTGTTCCTTTTTTAGGTGACAGTACAACTGAAACAAAAGCACCTTGTTACATTCCTCCACTACAACAGAAAAAAAGTCACTGGCATAAGTTGCAATAGCAACACAGCATTTTGACCTGCAACAAAGGCTAAACATGACCTTTAAAAGCAAATGAATCAGTTCGCTTCAATTAAACCAAGACACACCAGACCTAATCACGATTCAAACTGCACTGATGTCCATGTCCGATGGCTTATTAAAAAGTTTATGCACATGGGAGAGAGTAACATTAAAAGCTGATAGGAGGGCCTGAGAGACCCTTTCCCCAGCAGAAGAGGAAAAGCTTATAGGCAAACTACAGTGTTGATTTACAGTGCTGAAAAGGGTACAGAAGCGGATTTATTAGTAATGCAGTGTGTATCCATCCTCTATCAGTACCTCCAATGCTTTTCCTAAAGCCAAAGCTAAATTCATACTCACTCTTTAGCACTATTTGTTTCGCTGTCCAAGTTCCTTGGCAAATGGCATTCACCCTCCAGATAAATTTCAGGTGACTTTGTTGTCCATTAAGACAAACGGACTTATTTTGTTCTTTTTTCAAGTGAAAACGGGAATTTAGATCCACGGAGTGACCTGTATGATTCATTATGAAATCAAGAGAACTGCGCAACACAACCTTTGGTTAGTATTGGCATGCCTGGAGTTTCTTTTGGCTTCACTTCTAGCATTCAGAATCCTCTTTTTCAACCATCTCACAGCATCAAGGGGTTCTTCCTCACCCACCATGACCAATGAAATCCCAGGGTACGCACAAATACAGCATGGGCTAATGCTGAAAATGTAACAATTTTTGCATCCTTACAGTCAACATCATCTTAATATGGTGTATTTTTGTCATCGACTACATTTTTGGGAGCATTACCGAATAGTTCTTTCAATTAAGAACATCTTGTCGGTGTCCTCCATGACCTCACGTTCCTTGACAGTTCCTTCAGTTGGCATCTGAAAGTATCCCTTTGCTCATATCTTTTAAGTAAATCAATGAGAAATCAGTACCACAAAAAGCATGTCTGCTTCAATGCCGCTTTCAAGAGAAAACTTCTGAACCGAAAAGGAACAAAGAAAACCCAATGCAGGAAGAGTAATCAATGATGCAATTTTCTTCACCTCCCTACAATCGTTTCAAAGAAAAAGGCTTCCTTTGCCTTCCGAAATACTTTGTATGGTAGTGCCTTTGCGAAAAATAAAAGGGCAGCAGTTTGAGCTCCTCACTTCTTTTTGTCCTTCTGCTTCTTGTCAGGCTTGTTGCTTTGTTCTGTGGTCATGTTACGAGGCATAAGGAGAACGCCGTCTGGGCCGTACTGCAGACAGTACTCGCTGGCTGAGTAGGGCCTGCCTTCCTCGTCCCGCAGCTGTGCAAACAGTTCCCGAGATAGGCTCTGAACCTTCTGCTTCGTCTGTCTGATGCACTTATCGTACTCCATCTTCTCCTTCAGCAGCTGAGCCTTTTCGCGTTGCAGGTCTTGCACACCCTGCTCGAGGTTAAGGATGGTGTCTAGCTTGCGTTTGCGGCAGTTCTGCGCTGCCATTTTGTTCTTTCCGCGACGGCGGATGTCGCGAATGAGAGCGAGCTGGTCCTCATTGAGATGGTGCTTGGCCAGAAGCTCGTTGAACTCCTCAACGGGGAGGTTGATGATCTTTTCATTGGAGAATGGGATGTCCATGGCCCTTGCCCTACGTTCATCACGGCTCGACTGCCTGTCAGCATAGTCTTGTGGTGGCTGGAGCTTTGTCTGCTGCATTTGCTTGTCTCTGCCTTTCTTGCTGCAGGATGCCGACAGCTGAGAGCGCTCAGAGTAGGATGATACCAGTGGTAGATTGTAGGTGTGGTTGTGATTGACACTTTCCAACTGCGGTATGCCATGGAACTTAGATGCATCTTGGTAGCTCATGCGGCATAGTTTGCTATACTCCGGTTGGTAGCCTCCGACGGCTCCTTCCTCTGTTTCTGCTGCAGCTGCCTCCGAATCGGTGCTGTAGCCCACAGCTCCTTCCTCTGAGAATGTAGCAGAGGTGGATGAAGATGACGCGGCTGACGAGCAGGATGTCTCCGAGTTGCTAGGAGAGGCCGGGCTATGGCTGGAGTCCAGTGAAAGACCCGAGTCTGAATCAAGCTCATCCTCGAGCTGAGAAGCCTGGGCTTGGCTGAAGCCCTCTTCCATCGCAAGGTCTAGCAGGCTAATTTCATCCAGCATAGACTCCTCCAGCAGGCTGGAAAACGGATCTGGCAGTACCGGAGTGGTGGTTAGGTTGGTTGTACTATTTAGAGGTGGTGGAAGAAAGAGTCCGGTCAAATTAGTAGCTCCAAATGTTGAATTGATGTTGGAGGAGTTGCTGGAAGAGACCCTGACTAAGGTAGGCCGCTGTCCACCAGTGGAATCCAACTCAGGGTTGAAGAGTGTAGGAAAGTCCTGGCTGCAGCTGGGCAGCGAAGCCTGGTGGAGACTAACGTCCTGGTTAATGAGAGTGGACCGTGGGAGTCCAAAACTTCCTATTGTGACTGATTCTGTGGTGCTGGCATTGTTGTTATTGGGGTCATTATTCATGCTGACATTTACTGCAGTATTGTTTACCTCCATGTCCTAAAAAAGAGGTAATAAATGTTAGATAGGGTTCTATTATTATTGTTGTTGTACTATCTGTTAATTTACTAAAGAGTACACTAAAATGCCAGATTAAAAAATGTAATACCTGAAAAGACAACTTTATTAAGTGGTTTGGCAGCATATTTTATTATTAATTCTTAGGAAAAAATATATTAACACTTTCACTGCTTATTAATATTTAAAACCCTAATTTGTCTGCCAAATCAGTCGTGTAGTAAGACCAACATGTGTAAAAACAATATAAATTAGGAAATTATATCATATCATATAGCACCCTACAGATCCTCATGACATTTTTAAAATAATGATTTAGATGCATTCACATATTCAAGACAAAGAAAACTTTATTACTTTTTACTCAACGGATACATTATATTGATTATTTTTTTAACTTTACCATAGAAATTCATTATAATCATTGTCCCTGACACATAAATTAAGACTTCATATTTCCTCTATTGACTTGAATGTAATAAATGTACAAACCTGCAGTTCCATAATGGACATTATGTCCTGCCACTGCTGCTCCAGGTCTAGTGGTGTATCAGACTGCGGCAGAGGGCTTTGTAGGGTGATCCCTTGTGACGTTGAAGGAGCTTCCTCAGTTGAAGGTCTAAGCTGGGAGGTGGATCCTGTGGCCTGGAACTAAAAAAATAGAAGATGACAGCGTAAAATGACAGTCAACAAAAAGTCATGTTTTAATATGCACATTAATATGAATTTTCACTACCTCTGGCTCTTCTCCAAATGGAAAGGTGGCCTCCAGAAGCCTCAGACATTCCTGCAGGGATAATGAAGTCTGAGCACCGAGACTGGTAAGCTAGGAAATACGACAAGACAAATCCATGTAATTACAAGGTTAACAAGAATTCACTTGCATCTACAACTAAGCTACCAGCCTTTTTGAATAATCTACAAGCATTAATAACCAAAACCTTGCTGTGCTCCTCACACCTTCCTGTAATCCTAGCATATTATAGCACATACCTCTTCAGGTATGCTCTCTCCTGTCTCTCCATCAACATGAGCTTGGCTCTGCACTGCTTGGAGATTAAGTCCATTTCTCCAGCTTTCCTCTCTTCCACCTGTCTCCTCGTTCTCTTCATTAGGTTTATCAGCCTCACTCTCCTTCTGCCGATTGCTATAGTTAAATACTTCTCGGCCAGCACCAAGGTCAATATCCTGCTTCCAAAGGATGTCTATGAGGTCAATGTCCTAGAAATATATTTATTAAAAGGGAGGGTCATTAAAGGGCTAAGATTACAGAAAATCATCAGATAATTACATTTAATGAGGGACATGATGCAGATAACATCAGCTGAGCTCTAATTTTGTCTAACTGTTCCAAGCATATATTCATAAATATATAGGCTAACAAAGGAACCAATTCTCTCTCAAAAAATGAAATGCTACATATCCTGTAAGATCCTGACAACCACAAGAGTCGATGACCTCTATTTAAATGGTGAGTCTACTGAAATCACTACTACTAATCTCTATTTTTAATTCAGTGCACTGTTTGTTCAACATGTCAAAGCAGTGACATCACTAGAAAAGTAGTGTTAACATTACTAATAGCTTAGAAACATAGGCCTACACAAACAGTTTTAAGAGATAGAAAGCCCTATTGATGAGACCACACCCTGTCCAGCCACTATTGTAAGGCCCATAATGTAGAGTAAGAATACTACTAACTCACATATAACACTCTTAATACCACCCACTATACAATACACTTAGTCTAATAGCTAAAGATAAAAGCATAACACTGTTTTCTTTTTGAAGAAATCAAATACAAACCGACGTCAATCTAATTACAGTATGCTAAGCTAAAAACACAGCTACTGTACCTCTTTAGAGAGGTCGTCACTGCTCTCTCTCTCCCCTTGCTCCTGACTGTCCTCGGGGGCCACGGCTCCCAGGCTGTCCTCTCCGCTGAGGCTGTAAGTGGTCTCAGAAGCACTGCCAGCCCCTCTCATGGCCGAGGCTTCGGAGTTGTTCACGTCCTCCAGGCTGCCCCCATTGTCCAGGGCAATGCTGGGGCCTGACTGACTGGTTGCTGAAACCACAGTCTCAGGATCACGATGCACCAGCCAGGCACTCAGCTCGGTGCTGGGCACACGCAGATGATCCAGGGAGCGCACCTGGTTCAGCAGCCGACGAGTTGCAAAAAAATGGTCCAGGTCCACACTTTTAGGATGGATGCCATAGCCGTCCAGGGTGTTACGGAGATTGTGGAACTGCGTCTGGGTGTAGGCCGAGCTGGGGCCCAGGATGATCTCACGGAGTGGGGGGAGCTGATTGTTAAAATAAGAGTCCAAGTCCACCCGTACCCCAATTAGACTCAGGAGGATAGTGAACTGAATAAGACCCTCTGTGAAGTACTTTTTCAAGTAAAGCATTTCTTTGCAAAGGAACAAAAAAGAAAAAACTCAAAAAGAAACTAAAAAGCAAAAACAAAAAAATACACACAAACAAATTAGGTTATGGTCAGCCTTGTATGACAGAAAATCCTCTTTTTTTGGTCCTTGATGTACGTTTTTTTGCCCAAATGATATCCAGCTTATATATCTATAAGCATACACTTTCGAAAGTTTGACCAGCCTGCATAGAAAGAGAAGGAACAATTAACCAAAAAAAAAACTAAAAAACAAATTATTAGCAAATTATGCTTTTCAATATTGCATTTACAGCTAAATCAAAGTTAAAATAACATGTAAGATCACAATGAAATGCTTGCATCACAGCCTAGCATAATATACAAATCAACTTTTACTCCAATGTTAACACATCAGGATTGACAAAAGCTCATCAAATATCACAACGAACTGCTTGAAACACAACCTAAATGCAATTTTGACAGTGACAGTTAACTGCCTTACAATGAAACTTACTATAAAACCTAAATGCATTAATGACCTCCCACCAAATACACCCACCTCAAAATCACACCCACATTTACAGCAATCCATCCATCCATCCCTGTAACCCTCAAATAACAACTACGTAAAGACATCGCGCATGATCGTCACCAATCTGAGCGTCGGCCAAATGTTATTCACTGCCTAATTTCATCTAACTATTCTAAATCCTCATCTTAAAATACTGTAGTTGTCCAAGCACTGTGGAGTATTGACCTCTTACACTTCCGCTATCAGAGCCCAGCAGCCCGTTAGCAACAAGTGGCGCAACAGCCTCTGATTGGCTTAGATGCCTGTCACTCATTTTCTCTCCAAGCAACAGCCAATAAGGAGGCGGGCCCTGGCGGGGTTCTACCGGGGACATAGAATTACTAATAACAACTTTTATTAAATACCCAGTTCAGTCTAATGGTTAAACTTAACCGCTAAAAATAGTTACTTCAGTTCAAGCAAAGCTGTCTTGTGCATTTGCAGCAGCCACACTGACACACACTCCCACATTCGCAATTTCGAAAGCTATAGCTAACTTAGCCCGCTAGCATAGCATCAAAATAGTCCTTTTTCATACTTACTCAAGAAGAGTTTACTGACAAATGACTCAAAATGTATCCACGTGCATACACAGCCCACTGTCATCAAACACTTCTAACTAACTACGAACTTATTCCCTCAGATATCTCAATGGCTGTCACTCCCCTCTCGCTTTGAATGGCCCACCATGACTTGCAGAATTTCCTCTTGCCGACAACTTGGCTGAAACTGAGGCGCTGAAACATGCTGCCACTGCGCACGCGTAGAATATTCTAGTGCACATACGGGATGAGATCATTTATCAAAATTCCCCGTTGTATACAAAACCTATAATACGACTATATATATATATATATATATATATATATATATTGTTTTTTTTTAATTGTATAACATAATTTAAAATGTGTAGCTGGCAATTTAACTTAATTTTTTTACCCTGCCTTTGTTTTTCTTCCTTTTTTTGTTGATGAGCTCAGAACCGTGGGAATACAAATTTTGTAATAATTTGCAATATTCTAAAGTGGTAGGCTACCCTACCCAAAATCACAAAATTATTGACAATCACTAAAACACAGCAAATGTGAATGTCACAATAATTATTATTATACAGCCATTATATAAATATTCTATTATAAACTTGTCATCAACATTTCAACATTAAAACTATTATGAAGCACACAAATCAGCAACCAGATAAAAAATAACTTATACAAATGTATACACAAATTACATTGTAATAAACATTGTAATCAATAAACTGTATTAAATGAAAACACTTTGACTCAACACAACTTGACTCAATAAAAAATTTACTATAAAAAAATGTATTTACTTTTAACCACTGGATGGCGCTCATTGAACGTGTTAGACGGGCCTGAACTTGTTTGACAGGCCATAGGTCAGACCGAATAACTTCCTCCATATCGTAACATTCTCTCTTTTGCTAGAAGAATTTTAAAATACAGCTATTTTGTTCTTCTATAGATATCTACATAAAACATGCTTCTATGTGTCAAATGCTTGCGTCAGTCAGCCTTGAGAGGCAGTGGGAAAGAGAATTGAATATGCTCTAGTTTCTCTCTCTCTCTCTCTCTCTGAGATAAAAAAATATATTTATGCAACAAAACTTGTTTTTCTCAAAAGCTCATTAATTAGCTTTTTGGGCACATTAGTTTTAATTTCACACTGTGGTTTCTTGAAAGGGCACACTGAATGCTTAAATTTTGAAGTTTGACCATAGTTGATTGCCTAATAACAAAAACAGAACTAGTCAGGAGTTGCAGAAGAAAGCATTACAATTGATTACTAAAGAAAAAAAAATCTTGTTAATGGAAATGTGATTTGGAGACTGTAAGACGTCAAACTCTCATTTGGTTACTGGATCAGACAGACAATATTTCAAAGAATGTCTTTGTTCTAGGAAGCTACTGATACTTGGAAATTAGTCTGTGAGACTGCATTGATCTAAATAGTGTTACTGTGTCCTCCATTACCTTATCAATCAATCTATGAACATTTATTGCAGGCTTAAGACTCTCTGACACTTTGTAAACTAATTTTAAGACATGTGAATGTAGGTTACTAATAATTACAAAATATAGAAAGCTCTAATTGAACATGGGATACTTTAAATTAAAGCATGTTCAGAAACAAGTTTGTTCCCAAAATTAATACAGCAAGGCTTTTGTGAAGGAATTTCAAGGTTACAGGATGAGCTATTGTGGGAACATGGTGGGAACAGAGCAAGAATCTTAGTAATTTTAATGTATTTTATTTATGATGTGATTTTATTTAAGATAAGAAAGATACCACATCTTTTGGTATTTGGAGGGAAACTATTTGGTAGACTGTTTTATTTAAAGCCACAATTTGTCCCTTCCACAAACAGTCTTAACTGATCTTCCTCACATCAAAGCCGTGTTAAGACAGCAAAGTAATACTAATTATTACTCGGGAAACCCCTCTTAAAACTGCATGACGAATCTAACTTTCTCAATTGTCAGGTTAATTGCTCTGCAAACGTGTAAAAGACAAGACCGTCGGTGCCCCTTTCCTTTTGTTTAAAAGCGCGTATACAATATTTTACATGTCGAGGGGAAACATGCGTTATTAGAGCACCCCTTATAAACATTTACTATTACCATAGTTTCCGCAGACATACCATAATTACTGCATTTACTGTTACTACAATAATACTGTGGTAGCAGTGTCATCAATAAAATAAAATAAAATATTCTAAAAGCTTCTTGAACTGTTTTAAAGAGATTCTATATTGATTTATTACAATTTTACCGCAGTCACTATGGCATTTTGGCGGAAACTAAGGTTACCATGGTAAAAAAAAATGCAAGGGATTTCCTGTTGTTGCTGCCTTTAGATTCAATCTAGACGGGACTCGAGCTCGTGCCACGTTACGCTACGGTGCGTTAGCCTCAAATGTGTTCCCTGTCATTTCTCGGGAAAGTGCTGCCCTTCCATGGATTGACTCAAGTATTTGAGCTGAAGTAGAATAATCGCTAGGAACATAGTTGTCGGCATCTGTAGTAGATCTGCAGCGTCTGAATCTCAAGAAGAGCGACAGTGTTGTTTTAGTCTGATACAGTGTAACTGCATTAGGCAGAGTGGAGCTTCTTTTTCTCGCTCGCAAATAAAATAATGGGAGAGAAATGAGAAGGAAAACAAAAGCGCAGCGGATTCTTGATTACGAAAATGAAGAGGATGAGGAAGAGGAACAAAAACCGGACTGCTTCAGTGTAAGATGATCGACGGAAACGTTTTTTTAAGTGTTTAACGTCTCATTGTTTGTTTGTAACTGTTAATGTTTGATCCCAAAATAATAATTAGTATTATGTCAACCCGACTGTCCAACAGAATGGTTCACAGAAACGAAGAAAAATGTATCCCTCCAAAGAAAAAGCAGAAGAAAATAGCTCATCCGACGCCGGGCTTCAGAAGTTAGACATGAAGGTTTGGGCTTTTTTGTCATTATTAGTGTTTAATCGTTGTTTTTTTATGCATTTCGGCGGAGGAGGCGGACAGCGAAACATTTCGCTTATGATTCTCCCAGTTGTTCCACGTCGGCTGTTATAAGCATTTTACGCAATCTAACCCACAATTGACTGTTGTTGGTTTACTGCTGCACTTTTCGCACCGTATAGCGAGATTGAACGCTTTCCTATCCTGCAGCAGTGGTGTGAGGCAGGGCAGGCGGCCATGCCTGTCCGCTAATGAAGAACAATGGGGTAAAGCATGGTACAATACATCATTTGATCGAAAGCTCATCAGGCGCTTGCACAACTTAAGCCCAGTACTCACTTTCATTGTCCAAGTTAAAACTCGCCAGCTAGTTAAAAGTTTTGAAATGTGAAACTTTACAAAGTTTGAAACCATCTTCTTTTCAAATTATGTTGTTGGTACGCTTATAAAAATGTACCATGGTACTTGGAAAATGGAAATTTTCATGGAAAATACCAGCATTGTGACTGTTGGGAAGCCACAATATGGGTTCTCATTTAAATATTTTAAGGACATTCAGAAGCTTGAGTGTTTTATTTTTTTATACAATAGTGGCTAACTTTGCTGACAAAGTCTTAAATCGGCCCAAGTTGTTTTGCTGGTCTTTTAGTCTCCCATGCTGGACTGCTTGTTGGTTTCAGTGGGGTTTTGGGTGCTTTTCAGCTAGTCAGGCTTGGAGGTCAACTGAACCAGTTTAGGATGTGTTTTTTTTTAAACAGGTAAGTTAGGTCACCACCGTTTTATTTATAACATAGACTGACATTTAAGTGGAAACCGCTTACTATGGTATATTTTTGTAAGGGTAACAAGATTTGAACCTTGTCAGTGTATATGTAAGCAATATTAAAGGTGCTTTTATTCTGAATATCAGCATAACTGATTTGGCTGCACTTTTAATTATTCCTCAGTAACTGACATTTGAAAGATTACCCAGCTAGTTTGCATATTTCTGCTTTGCCAATCGCCAACGTAAATGGTTCTAAATAATACTTGATATTTCAAAGATGCAACACTGTATTAAAGCTTGATTGGAATCGTGTGGAGTGGAAATGTGTGAGTAACTTTAGTCTAAATGGTCATGAAATGAGAGGAAACATCCACGCTTTGACTTTCAAAACCTGTTCCTTGTTGTCAAATGCAATCAGTTTTGAGGACCGAAATGAACTGTTGTATAATTATCAATGACAACTGACTGGGTAAATAGAAAATATTAGGACTCTTTCTTGTCATGACAGGTTAATGAGCTGGATTGTTCTTCCGCAGACCTCTACACTGACAGTGCTCCTGCTTCTGAGTCTGAGGTAGGATGAGAGTCACTTGTGTTCAGTATTCAAGACACTTGCTTGTTTGCTTGCAAGACATTTACTTTTAGACCTGAGCTTGTGTACTTTTATGATGGCAGGAGGCTCATTATTTACAGTCCTATTCGAAGAAGGAGCTCATTGCCATGGTTTTGTGCATGCAGAGGGAAATGGAGGACATGAAGGAACAACTTAGGTGCCTTACAGGTCAAAATTGTTTGTTTCTGCTTGGTATTTTGATGTATTGAATTGAATGAATCAAATCTTAACATTCAATTTACTCACTACAGCATGTGGAAAACTAGCAAGAAACCTGGAAACGCTGATCGAGAAGACCCAAGTGTGGTCAAACGGGAACCACGGGACCTCTCTCGGGACCCCAGTTTCTCGAGGCACGGCACAATCACCTGCCAAGGCGGATGCTGTGATACCAGATGTGCGGTCTCCTCCAGCTGTTGTGAATGGACAATGGCTGAATCAGGGCCAAGGACCACAGAAACCTCTTGAGACCACTCAGAATGCTCTGAAGGATGGACTCTTCACAGAGGTAGGCTATATAAATCAGTCAGATTGTGTTGTGCAACAAATAAACATTATCCCTAAGCAACCGATTGAGTTATGTGTGTGTATATATGCAGTGTTGGGGAGTAGTTAACTACAAGTAGCGACGCTACTAACTTAACTACGTTTTTCAGTAGCTTGGCAGTAGCTCAGTTGCTTTTTAAACAGTGTAGCTTTTCCAGTAGCTAACTACTTTTTGCAGCAAGTAGCGGTGTAGCGCGAGCAAAAGCTACATTGTGTTTTGTTGAGCCTGCGCGAATGAGCGCGATGCAAGGATATTCTTCTTGTTAGATTACAAACTAATTTGTTTTGCCATTACTGCCACCTGTTGTTTATTCACGCATCTTGCGGCTAACGGTTCACTGACGTACAGAAGACCTCAAGCTCAAATTTAAGGACGCACTTACAGGTGATTAATGGCCACTTTAAATGTATTAATTATCCTGCTTTATTGCTCTATATGTTACATGAAATTTCTATTTCTGATTTAATTACAATGAACCGCCATGATCTGTCCGCCAGTTTGGTAATGAACATAAAAGACCACTAAACTAAAGTTTGCGCCATCGTGTTTGTCAGTTGAACAAAAAATGTAATCTTAGTTTGTTTATCGCACGACAAAGGCTTTGATCTAATTAAATTGGTGTATAGATGTGTTGTGACTGGTTTCAGAGCGAACCGAACTGTGCTCACAAGCAGCTTGTGATTCAGGTTCTTCTTTCACAGTAAATTCTGCGAGCTCCATCACTGCATGTGAGCGAGTTTAACGTGCATTGTCAGTGCGACATGTGAGCGGTTGTTCAATGTATTTTCTTGCCAAAATGCAACCATCTCACAATCGGTATTTTTGAGAAAAAGTCTATACATGCAATTTACGTTGGATGTATATTTTGTTCTTGCAATGTTGTATTTGTTGCAATTTTGCACTTTTGACAAACAGTCTGAGATATTTGAGTGTTGTGTGTAATAAAACAATAAAAATCATAATTGTATTGCATTGTTTTAAACACTAAATATTTTACTTAAAACATTCCTCAGACACTTATTCAGTTATTTATAATATATGTTGTTCAAAAAAGCAAAAGTAGTTTCAATGTAGCTAGCTACTTTTTGATCGTAACTTGTAGTGTAGCTAACTACTTTTCCAAAAGAGTAGCTTGACTGTAGTTTAACTACTTTAACTAACGAGTAGCTTGTAGCTTGTCAAACTACAGTTTCAAAGTAGCTTCCCCAACACTGTATATATGAGATGACGTCACACCTTTATAGGAATGCTCACCTGGAGGGCAAAACAAGGCTTTCCTCCATTGAGTGCCAGTTATTTTTTTACCAGGTTTGTGTTAAGTACTAGTAAGACAGTGATATTAAAAGATCAAATTTAATATGCACCTTATTGATGATGCAATAAGGCATCACAGGCAAACCCAGAATATAAATGCAACAGTTTTTTTGTTAAGTTTTTTCATAGAAAACCATTATACAGAAAACGCTTAACCATTTTGCACGCTTGCGTTAAGATTCTGGGCTCATCTGCTTGCCTGTATATGGTATCATGCATCATCAATAAGGTGCATACTGAATTTGATTCGATCTTTCTTTTAATATCACTGTTTTTGAACATCAAGCCACTTTAAGTGTTTTTCCCATTAAGCGTATTAGAATGTCAGTGCTAGTTTACTGCAGCAGGTATTGTATATGGACCAAAAGTGCCCAAAATGTGTATTTTGTGTACGTGTTTTTCTTTGAAATATTCGTGGCTTGAGAAAGATTTTCAAAAAATGTTAGTCTTGTGCTGAAGTTCAGGGCATTCGGATGCCTTCCAGGTGTGACATTATATATATATATATATATATATATATATATATATATATATATATATATATATATATATATATTTGTTGACATACACAGCAGCAGTTTTTAAACAGAAAATATAGTTCTGTTTTTTTCCTCTCAGTTTATCACTCCTGACCTTTTGGAGAGGTGTAACACAGGCACCACTGCCCAAAAACTGACCAACGACCTTCTCCGTGGACTCTATGAGAGAGAATGCCTTGCATCTCACTCCATATCTGGAGTCGTGTTCAACAAAAAAGGCAAACCCAAGCCTGCTCTCCCCACCGAAGAGGTCCAGGCAGTCCTGAGTAAGATGCTTTTCAGTCATTTTGATCAGTGTTAAAATTTACACTTGCACAAATGTATTATACCTAATTTCCTGAAACATTTCCCATACAGGAACAGTTCAGTATTTCTTTCCTCTCAAGACCGACGCAGAGATCAAGGGCTACATCCGACAGAAACTGCAAAACGAAGCCAAGAGTTTGAGGAAGAAACCTTCGCTCTCAGGCCAATATGAGTCTAGAGGTCTCAATCTACTGAGTCCCATGTCCGACCAGAATTAAAACATACGGTTTGTGGATATCAGTTGTGTGTTCTCTATTAAATTAGCCTTATTCTGTGTTACTTACGATTAAAAGTCCTGGACTCTAGTGAAATTGATGTGCATTGACAATAGTCTTCAAATAAAGTCACAATGATCTTTTGTGGCAGTCGTTCGGCTGCTGAAGGTTGTGCCGTTACTGATGTGAAAATGCAAATCAGTGATTCCAGATAAATCCAAATGTTGCATTCACAAAGGCCTCTGGCTGCTACAAGCACAGTTGACGCTTAGATATCGAGATGTTTAGATATTAATGATGTGTCTCTGTGAACGTCTGTTTTTTTAATACTTTGTATTTAACAGATGTAGGATTTCAGGATGTTCCAGGGTCATAGGGTGTGACCATTATTTACATTGTATTTTTTATTTGATGATGTTCTTTTGTCTATATGACAACCGCTTTATGTATGTAGCTTTTTGTTATTAAATTGCAAAAAAACAAATGGCTGAGGTATGCTTATTCGTATAAGCTTTTTTTTATTTAAAGCTGTTTTGCTTAATATGGTTTTTGGTGGGGAATGTGTGACACTATGAAATGGATGTGGGAGAGTTGGTAGGTGTATTATCGTGTACAATGCCTTCTCAATGAGGGCCATTGAGAACAATACAAGCTGCATGTGGAGAGCTGGTGAGATTGGAGAGAATCAATGACTGAGCGACACAGGCAGAGTGACAACAGCAGGGGTGCTGGGCCAGTTGTCTTGGCAACCTCAGTCTTCTGGGCCACAGCAGTCTGGGTCTCACCCTGGCCATCGCCTCAGAGCATCTGCCCGCTGCAGGGATGAGGGGGCTTTTTGATAAACAAATGAAAGGCAAAAAGCTTTTAGGGCCCCCAAAAAAGGAGATTAGGTCTGTCATCCAGTGACAATTTTAGTCTTAATTTCATCATCAGTATGATGTTTCAGTGGAATATTTGATAAATGCACAGAGCTTTGTCTTGTTATTCCGCTCTTGTCGACTGGGTGGAAAACAAAGTGTTTTGTAATGGCTGCTCTTTGAAGCTTCTGTGTCAGTAAACAGCGGTCTGTCTGGCCTGATTGATGGCACAGGCAATGATCGGGCCGAGCGCCACCCTCTACTTATCATAGCTTCATCAGAGACAGTGGAGGAGATAGGCGGAGACAGACAAAAGAATGGATTGCATGTGCATTTTGCAAATCATTGAAGGGTAGGGAGAATGTGCCACAGATATTATCTTGGTTAAATGTCGTCATGTCAATGACGCAAAGTCTACAATACCGATGTGTTTTAAAACTTGTGTCTGAAATTGAGCTTTAATGCTTCACTGTTCCTTGCATTAGATGTAGGGGGTGTGCAAAGATTATGTCCATTAGATCCTCAATCTTGTGAGCATAATGTGTTTTTGCCATGTGATTTAACCAGCTGCCCCAAGGCAAAACAGAGACAACATGGTAATAAAGCATCAAGGGTGACTCACTTAGTTGAGGTGCAATTCCTATAACAATCATATGCTGTAATATTTCACTGTATCTCTGTTAGAATACTTGCAAAAGGAATTCTTTCAAAACATTTTTGGTTATGTACACTACTTTTCAAAAGCTTGGGGTCAGTAAGATTTTTTTTAATGTTTTTGAAAGAAGTCTATTATGTTTACCAAAGCTGATGTGATTTATTCCAGCATCCATTACTCAGAACTTCATTGTCACATGATCCTCCAGAAATCATTCTAATATGCTGATTTGGACTTTTTATGCTGAAAACTGTTGTGCTGCTTAATATTTCCCCCCTAGAATTTATTTCGTGAATAGAACATTCAAAATAACACTTTTTATACATTTAATATTAACAATATTCATTTATTTAAAAGAAATCTTACTGATCCCAAACTTTTAAATGGTATGTGTTTAACCCTGCCTTTGGCAAGCACCACTAATAAGGGTAAAATGCATCAGCTGCCTATATCTCACCCTTAATAGTGATTTTGGCATAGTTTTGACAATCTGGTGACATGACATTCATTTTAATGTTTTTTTTTATTTCATTTATGAAAAATGAGATTTTTTAGATATGCCCCATATTTTGCATACACCCAGTTATTGCATGAATTTCACTACATTACTAAATGGTTAAAATATGTTGTCTACAGGTTTTTACAAATAAACCTTGTAACCCAATTTACTGTATGATTTTTTTTTTTTTATCTAACACATTTTTCTTTAAGGGAAATATGTTAATCAACATCTAAAAACAAACCAGCATTTTTTTTTTTTTACTTAAAGGTGCTATATGTAACTTTTCTTCTAAAATGAATCCTTTTTGTATTGCCTGTGTGTGAAGGGGTTGTAATCATCACACATTACAATGATCCACTTGTCGGGTTTTGCTATTACCTCTGAAGGCCAGTATTCCTATTTCTATGTGAAGTCTCCGGGTCGGATTTTCTGCGAAATCCATCGGATGTGACGTGTATGCGCACTCCCGAGCTTCTCTCCTTTTTATATACAGTCTATGCGACGGCACTGCAGCTAACGACATTGAGTCTGATAACACCAAAAAACGACCTGCCTCCAGCACAACACAGACTCCTACGGAAGCCTCTTCACCGTAAATACGTTCTGGCAGACTGATCTCATGAAATGGCGTATGTATGACACGCCAATTCGTATTTCCATTTTTGGCGTGCTATCAACACGCATAATCGCTTTTCAGCGTGTTTATCAACGCCGTTGACTTAACGTTACATTACTGTATATATAAATATATTACCTACCCCAACCCCGTCCCTAAACCTACCCGTCACTGGGGTTAATACCATTTATGAGTCTTCGCCTACCATCCTAGGAAAAAAGATATCGCTCCCCAGATGTAGATCTACATTTTGGTTTGTTTCGCTCGGACATTTAACGGCGTACACATACACGCGGAATCACTCGGACATTTAACGGCGTAGACATACACGGAAAAGATGACGGTTCGTTTCGGCGTGGACATACACACGGATAGCTCAAAATGCGTATAGATAACACGCCGCTTGACTTGAAAGTGGCGTGTATGTTTACGCAAAGTCATGATGCCATGTTGGTTCTGGATACATTTTATCATTCTGTATCCAATCATTTGGCCGGATCCCGTGATTTCCTCAGATTTAATAACCACTAATGGTGGTTGAGGAGAGATTCTCTGATATGATTGTAAAGCGCTTTGAGTGTAGACATATGAAAGCGCTATATAAATGCCTCATTCATTCATTAATTCATTCATTCATTCATAAAGCCGGATATCTCCATCCAGTCTGAAAAGTGTTTTCCGGGTTGGTTTTCCTATAGGCTAAAGTCTATTCCGGTGCAGTATATTTTATAACGTCCTATAATGGTAGCCTAATGCTGGTAGATTGGCACCTGTTGAATTTCCTTTTGTTGAAACAAAACACACACACACACACACACCGTGTGAAACGTCTCCGGTTACTTACGTAACCTCGGTTCCCTGAAAGGCAAGGAACGAGACATTATGGATGTCATATATGGGAACTCCTCTCCTCCTTCACTTCCGCTGAAATCTTATAGGCTAACGCCAGCAGAGCTGGCCAATTGACGCAAATATGCAAATACTGAACCATGCAGTATAAATACAATGCAGCGTCAATTCCCTTTAGAATCGAATGAACGCTAAATCAAATAGCGAACACGGCGGCGAGCGTAATGTCTCGTTCCTTGCCTTTCAGGGAACCGAGGTTACGTAAGTAACTGGAGACGTTCCCTATCAAGGCTACGGAACTTCGACATTACGGATGTCGTATATGGGAACTGTATAAAATCCCGCCGCAGCAAAACAAGCCACAGACAACAGACCCAACAGAAGACGGCCCCCCAGTATGCAAGCCTCCGATAGGCTGAGATTGGCCAATAGCGAACCTCTAACCTCTGATAGGCCCAAAGGGACCAATCACAAGCTCGCAAAACACTGCCAGAATTTGCATATCCTTAGCAGTATAACCGGGGAAAGTCTGCACTAACTATCAGTCAGAGCAACAACAACAGTAAGAAGGCCAACGCACAGCGGTGACACAGTAAAACACACAACACACAGAGCAACTCATGAGCGCAGCGCAGAGAAGCTCTCATAATACTGTGCATATAATCAACTCACCGAAAGTACACGAGACGCTACAGAGGGCAAGTCCAACTTATAAAATCTGGCAAACGTGTTCTGAGAAAACCAGCCAGCCGCAAGACATAAATCCTGAATGGACATACCCTTAGTCCAGGCCCACGAAGAGGCTACCGCCCTAGTCGAATGAGCCTTGACGTTAAGGGGGCATTCCTGCCCCTGGCAAACATAAGCCAAAACAATAGCGTCCACGATCCAGTGAGCAAGCCTCTGCTTAGAGACCCCCCGTCCCTTGTTGCACCCACCAAAGCACACAAACAGCTGGTCCGATTGTCGAAAAGCGGCCGAGCGAGAAATGTATTCCCGGAGCGCTCTGACTGGGCAAATAGCACTCTGAGCATCCGAACCCTGAGAGGACGATGGCTCAGCAGACAGTGCAGGCAGAGAAACGATCTGCGCTCTGAACGGGGTATTGAGCGACTTAGGGACATAGCCCGGCCTCGGTCTGAGAGTTACATTACAGTTTCCCGGTCCAAAGCGAATACAGTCATCACTTACGGAGAAAGCCTGTAAATCCCCAACTCGCTTCACCGAAGCGAGAGCGAGAAGCAGTGCCGTTTTAACCGAGAGCTCCTTAATAGCGATAGAAGCTAATGGCTCAAAGGGCGGACGCGACAAAGCCTCCAAGACCAATGCTAAATCCCACGGCGGCACCGAAGGCGGACGCGCAGGGCATAATCTCCTAGTTCTCTTGAGGAACCGTGTCACCGACGGATGTCTACCGATAGACTGTCCGTCAACAGGGGGGTGAAACGCAGCAATAGCAGCCACATACACCTTCAGAGTGGATGGCAGGCTCCCTTCATCCATCTTGTGCTGCAGGAAGCGTAA